ATGTGCGATAGCAATCACAGCAGACATGAGTTTTAGGACAGCGTTACCGGAAGATTTTAAGAGAGAATACAAAAACGTGGAGTTCCTTTGGAAGCAAAGACCAGGAGTAGGGGGCGTAGCAGGGCCTTACCTCAAGCGGCGTCACAGATACCTGGAAAATACATATGCTTCTTGGTGACGAAGGCGACGGAGAAGCAGCACGTGGACCCAGAGAACCTAGTCTTGTCCTTGTCGAGGTTGAGAGACTTCCTAATGGAAAAGGAAGTGAAGGAGCTTTCGCTTCCTGTGTACGATCCAAACAGAGGACGACTGCATCCTCGGGAATTGTACGCGCCTGTACACGTGATATTTTCTGATACTAATATACAAGTATATACATAAGAAATATTACTTAAGTATAGGCTGAGTGACGTGCGAGAGGGTGTTAGGCTAAAAGACTAAGTTTTGTAACATGTGTGTTGTGTTATGTTATGTTATGTGTTATGTTATTAAGATCTCGAGTAAGAAGGGGTTAGTGACCATGAACAACTGAATGACGATCTTAGGAATAGATCCAAAGTTTGGACTGTCCAATCTTAGGTCGAATTCCAAAATATTAGAGACCGATTGATTTTAATAAATTTTAGGACAAAGAATCTTTTTATCTGACTGTTTTCAAACAAATTTTAGCGAGAAGTTAAGGTGAAACTGACAAGTGTGATATTTGTGACCTCTTTTCTAGATCCTGATTGATCGTTTAATTGCTCATTTGAGTCAAACCTTGGAATCAAATCAAATCGAATCTGAAGAACAGTATGGATAATTTCAACTTGAATGAATTGATGGACTTGGCAGAGGCATATGTAGGACCGATGATAGATGTGATCTATCGTCGGCTAATGGATCGAGACTTCGCTCTGGAGGACCCAGAGGTAGTCATGTTGCTGACCGCCCTGATAAACATCTTGGGGCATGACAACCGTGGGGACCGCCCCACGGAAGTCCTATTGATGGCAGCATACGAAGAAGAGTGGGAAGTACATCACCGAGGCCATGAAAGTAGGACGGGATGTAGATTGGACAGAGTGGCGTTCATGGAAGAAGTCTGGACAGTGGTTCAGAGCTATGGGATCCAGTCCATTTTGAAAGTAGGTCTCAACCGACCATTGATGCGGGAAGTCCTTGACAAACTTGAAGAGTGTGAAGGGAGATTGAGTGAGTTGTTGATTGACTCAGCCACTGACGAAAGTGAAGCGAACTCTCCCATCAGGATGATACAGCAGGATGATAAAGGAGAGGTGGTATATCTGTCAAGAACCAGGAAGGGAACGATGCGATCGAAACTGGTGATCGATAAGATCAACGAGATGAAGATGAAATTAGGCAGTAAAGTGATACCGAGGAGGACAGGAAAGACGAAGGTGGATTCGGAGATATCGATAAGAGCTGTAATTTCAGCGAAAAGGAAACGGGTCGAAGAAGCCATGGATTTGGGACAAGGTGATTATCAATTGCCTGGCACGGACAGAATGTTAACTGATGTAGCGATGGTGCCACCCATTCTCATGGCAGGGATAATGTCAACAGGTTACAAATCCAAAAGGAGTGACAGCACTCTGACTGGAGCAACGTTAGAAACGGAAATACTCAGCCAATGAGGAGAAAGTACCATGAAAGTCTTTAAACCGTCTCCCATGAACCACGGAAAGAGAAGTATCGTAGGACAACTGGTCCCAGTGAAATATAACCGACTGACACTGTCGGAGACTGTGTCGATAGATGAACCCGCCGGTGGATACATGGAGATGTTGGAGTACCGAAACTCGGCTAGAGGATATGTGATGGCTCTGGAAGACGAGAGTGCCATGGAAGGTTATCTGGAAACGATGTTGCAAAGCACCACCCTTAAGCAGAAGGCGTACGGGACTCTAGCGTCGTCTGTCGTCTGAGATGCAGGCGGAAACGAACGAGCAATTAGTGAGTCTTCCATGGAAAGCAGTGGTGTTGAAGTACTTTGAAGAGGAAATGAGGACTACGCCGAAAATACACGCTCTCATGGCGGTACCTTACGTGAGAACCGAATTACAACTAAGGTTCGCCTGGTGCATGATGGGATTAACTCGCGGGGAATATGACTCAGAAGGAAGGAAAAGGTCAAAAGAAGAAAAAGTATTCATGATGACGAACCTGAGGGATCTGATAATCCAGGAAGGAATGGCAGTAGCGTGCGCGCAGACCAAGTTGGGACTTATCTTGGAAGAAAAGGTGACTGCACCTTCCGTGCCAAAATCCGACAAACGAATGGAGTTTGGATTGGGATTCTCAGATGAACTACTGAGAACGAGCTTGATGGTAGTGTGGGAACTGAAGAGATCATCATGGTGTCCTAGTCCGAATGCTGACTCGATACTACGAGCGACACAAGACATGCAGAGGGAGCTGAATGCAGACTGTAACCTGCGTGACCTTAACATCATATATAATATGATGATAACAGCCTCTAGGAGCAACGGGGAAGACAAAGTGGAGTTGCCTGGCTGGGGACCAGAAGACTGGGTCAAACCTGGTAGCTGTCTGGCGGAAGTCTGTGGACTGGAAGGTCACGTTTGTGGAGGTCTGGATTGTGTGAAAACCCTTGAGAGACAAACAAGCAATTGACGATATTGTGCAGATTAGTGAAAAAATTTGAAGGCTATAGTGATGTAGTCTGATGCCATTTATATTCTGCAGTGAGTCAATATGACGCGGATAAAAGTAATTTCGTGCATTTTGTAAATTATGTTCAATGACACTGTACCAATTTTACGAACATTGCGAGATGCAATGGGGACATTGACCGGACTTTCCGGGGAGTATGTGACATTCGAACAGAATGGACGAAAATGCAGATTCGAATTTTTAGCAGCTAGCCTTTCGAATTAGCAGTTTTGAAGGATGAGCAGTGTTATTGGAACGATTAGCCAAACGATGAAGGCTAGAATACTCTGGTGGTTCAAATTTTTAATTTTTCGAAGAATGACGTCATATTTCTGAGAAACGACAGAAGCGACCATTTTGGCATAAAACCGAAATAAAACACAACAACAACAGTAGTTGCGACGATAACAACGGAAAAACTTAGACTCGGAACTAGAGACGAGCAGAAATAGCAGAGACCGTTCCGAGTTGCAACTTTTGTGTCGCTACAATAGCTGCAAGGCCGTTGCGAACAACGGTGAAGGGTAGAAGGCAGCCTTCCTGGAGGAAAATAGAGGTCTTATTTCCCCGGATTCAAGAATCCGGAGGGGTCTCGGGACTGAAACTCATAGCATTTTTTATAAACTTTTAGCTTCCCTATTATGTCCTGAATTGAATTTAATTAACATCTGAATTCATTTTGCTAGGATGAGAAGCTAGGAGTTGGGGAAAGGGTTGATCCATCTTCGATGGAGATGATGATTTTTATCTACTGAGCGAAAACAATCATAATTCATTAAATAGTAGTAGCCCTGTTTTTAGGAGTGACCTCGTGGTCTGGGGATACTGAGACCCAGCCATGAGCTCACTATTTCTGCATGTAATTAAGTTGATTTAAGCGTTCTGGTCGAAGCCGGAGAATGGTAACGTTTTTGTCGACCCGATGTTGAAAAGACCACCAAAAGAACTGGCTTGGTAGAGACGGTGAAAAGCATGTAAAGCTCTGTTTAGACGTTAGCCAGTCGTCTTAGGACCTAGCTTTATTTTCCGTCGATATGTATCTTCCGGGCGAATGTTACACATCCGAGTGGGAAAATTAGCAGTTTCGATGGATTAACAGTGCAAGTCGTGCAATTTGGCGAATTGGGAGAGGTTAATTGCAGATGACGAAGTAATTTTTAAAAATTCTTCCGAAAATAATGACACGCCACGCTTTGAAATTTCGCGAACCCTGAAAGCGGCAAAAATCAGAACAGACAGATTTTCGCTAAAAAACAGCAACATTGACTCTAGACAAAGAAGAGAAAGAGTGAATCATTTTCAGATTACGATAGAGGCTGTCCGGAGTGTAACGACTGTAGCTTTACAATCGTTACCGAACAACAATTTCCGGGAACTCAAAAGGGTATTGGGAGGGTTTTACCATCTTTCCAGAAGGACGACATGACCGCTCCTCGTCCGAATTCCAGAATCGGAAGGCTCTCGGGAAGAAAACTGAAACTGCATTGTAACAACTTTTAGCTTACGGATATGTCCTGAATTGAATTAACTAACATTAAAATTCGTTTTCAGATATTGAGAAGCTAGGAGTTGAGGGAAAGGGTTGATCCATCTCCGATGGATATGATGAGTTTTATCTACTGAACAAAAACAATAGTAATATAATAAATAAGTAGTAGCCCTGTTTTTAGGAGTGACCTCGACTCACTATTTTGCATGTAACTAGATTAATCTGCGTGTTCTGGCCGATAGCCCACCAACAGTAATGATTTTTTTTCGAACCGATGTTAATGGAACACACAGAACTGACTTTGGTAGAGACGGTTAAAAGCATATGAAGCTGTGTTTAGACGCTAGCCAGTCGTTTCATAACCTAGCTTCATTTTCCGTCGATATGTACATCCGGGCGATTGTTACATTTATAGCATTTCCATAGCTCTTTCTCTTTGTAGAGTTTCTAATAGGCAATTTTGTTCTAGATGTTTTAGGCTTTTGTTGCAATTTTTTTGACAAAAACGATTTTTTGACGTTTTTTTTTCATTGTATTCCGTTTGATTTCAATCATAGTCATTCATAGTTGTATCCCAAGTGGTTCGAATCTCAGCCTCGCCTCGGTGTTACAATTTCCTTTTGCTTGTTAGGTTGTATCTTCCGCTGAGGGATCCTTGAGGAAATTGGTCTTGTCATTCGAAAGGTTTCAGTGGTCGTTTTAATGTTAGATGTTTCTATATGGGGGCCTTACGTGAATATGTTATAGCAATTTACTGTGCTTTAGCAATTAACATACACTTCATTTTTAATCTATGAAGTTGGATAAATGATATGTTTTTTCTCGTTTAAGACGAAATGGTCCCTGAAGTACTTTCAAGCGTTTTGGGCAGAAAATGTGTGAACTCAGTCAGACAGGCTAGCTGTGTTCTATGCCCAAGTAGAACATTGGCATTATCATCCACATGTTGGAAGTGGCTACCTAAATCAGTTACCACAAAATTAAAATCTGAGAAACGCGAAAACGTTGCAACGGTTCCTAATTTTTTATGCTTGTCTAGAATTGCTCTGACGCCTTTTATTGTTGTCAGTTTGATAAATGAGAATCATTCTTGCGCCTTGTCTTTATTTTTCATCGCTGGGGGTTCTGACTTACTGGATGGCTTCATAGCTCGAGCTTTTCCATCGCAACGGTCTAATTTTGGATCAATTTTAGATCCCCTTGCTGACAAATTACTTGTAGGTTTTGTTTTTGTCGCTTTATGCTCATTGAACCATTTACCCGTGTATTTAGCAGTGTTTACTATTATGAAAGATCTTATGTTACTTACCGGAGCATGTCGTGTGCGAATGAAAACACTTCCTAGTAAAATCCCGTTTTCGTGGAAGGCATTTTTTGACCCTACATTGTCGACAGTGACGGTGACTCCAACAACGACAGGGAAAATTAACACCGGAATGCAGTTGTTACTAATAACGAGCACAATGTTTCATTTGGTCTGGCCCGAATATGTTGAGCAGTTTTATCTGACGGGTCTGAGTCTATTCACAGCAGTAACTACGGTTGTCACTTCAATTCAATATCTTGTTGCAATGGCTAAAGAGGACGTTATTTGAAATCTGTTTTGAACAAACTTAAAACTTGTTATATTGGCATATCTATAGTCTTCAACTTTATGAATTTATAGCCTTCCATGTTTCATTTTTTCACGAACACGCTGAGTGCACGAGACTTCAACTCCATATTTTTTTAGAAGGTCATAGAAAACCTCTCAGAAATAGCTTGCGCCGCGTCGTTGTTACCACTGGAATTACGCAACGAAACGAACTTGGGTATTTTGAAAAATCAAGATTTGCCTGCAAATATGTAGTCAAACACAGTTCTGGTTTAATATGTTCGTGCTGATAGCTCATGTGATTCTGAAAACCAAGCGTTCAGCGAGAAACAAGTTTTCTAGCATAATTTAATTAGGAAGGTTCATGCAACCGGTCTTTCCAGTTTAAAATTCTCTCATCACACCACGCACATTCGACACTAATTTGAAAAAGGAAAAATGTTTTATGGAGTTTTTCTATGAATTTGGTCTAAACATTCTGGTCTTCTTGCGCATTAAATGGCACTCCTTGTTTTTGTCAACTTCTTTTCCACCGCATCGATTTTCTGATATTAGTCAGTTTTACCAAAATTGAAGCCATTGTGACTGATTCCTGCAGCGGTGTATGTAATCGAACTCCACAAAAATGTGCTAAAGCTTTATGATTTTCTGTTTTTTTTTAAATCTACAAATTCCAATTACTTTTGCTGAAGTTTTTTTGCAACCGTCTAATCAACGTGTTCCCACACACAAAATACTGAAAATATTATGTTCCCACTTTAGGCTAGTTTTTTTTTTAAATGATCTACATTTGTTTCTTAGTTTTGAAAGTTTTGTCCGAGTAGAGAAAATTCGAAATATAGTCTAATTTCGAGCGAGAAAATCCAGCAAGTTTGCCTTATAAATACTATAAGTGTTCCTATAAGTTGTGCAAAATTCAATCTTACTACGTAAAAATTAGCTTTGTAAACTTTGTTTACCGAGTCCGAAACAGTTTTAAAAAAATCAGAAAAATATTCTACAAAAAATCAAAAATTTAAAATTTTTTTGTTTTTAAATTTTTATGCCTGCTTTTTTCATTAATTTTTTTTCTGTACTTCAGTTGGTTAATCAAACTTTTGGTTTCACTACGAAAGACGAAGAATATAAGTCACAAATTTTAGCAGCAACTTTGATTGATTATTAAATTTCAGAAAAAAAAACACTATTTAGCAGTCAGTATTCCAGATAATTACCCTTGCGATAAGCAAGGGTGTTGCAAGCGGGACTTTTTTCTCTTCAATAACATTGTTCACAGAATTCACAGGAGCTTTTAATGAATTTGATGCAGTGGTAGCACTCATGCTTGAGACTACGCAGACCAGAAGTTCAATTCCTGTCGGAACTTTCGGCTATGATAGACTATCATCTGTCTGCTTAATTTTTTTCGCCTTAATTCCCGCAAAATAGACTATTTGTGGGGTTTGAATTGCTTTCTTGTTTTTCGAATACTCATTTTGAAATTTCTGTTGGTCATTTTGTTCCAGTGTTTGTTTGGCTCTTGCAATTTTTTAAATTTTTTTTGAAAAAAAAAAACAGTGCATAACTGGCACTACGAAGGTCGAGATATCGTATCCGGCTGACGTTTTTTGGGCATTTTGTTTTGTCGGTTCATACTTCTCTCTGCCAAAAGAAAGCCTTGACTGGAGACTTGTCTTAATTGTTTTTAAATTGGTCTCGATTTTGACATATCAGATTTTATGAATAACGAGGGCGCTAGATATGAAGAGATTGTGCCGTCTCTTGAAATACGTCGAAGTTTTTTAAAATGTGGAACCTTTGGCTGTTTTTATTTGTCTCACTTTTAATTATTTGCTGTTTTGTTTTTACTAAATAGGCATAATCGAACAAAATTAGCCGGTTACTGTGCATGTAGCACAGAATGTTCCGACCATAGTCTGCAATTTTTTTTCCAGATTAATCTATTTTCTGAGTGGCATGATGAAAGGATCTGAACGAAAAATTCGAGTTTGTTCGTATTCGACATTCATAATAAATTAGTCTTTGTAGAAAAGTGACTTGAAAATCAAGAAAAAACATAATAAATCAAAAATTACTTGTTTCATTTTTTTGCTGAAATTTTTTGAATTTTGAAGCTTTTGATTATCAAAATTGCATGAAAAACTCCAAAACAAACTTTACTCGAGTAAATTTAAAATTAGGCACGCATAACATATTGTAAACGGCTTAAGCTGAGCATAAATAAGCCTGCTTGCTTGCTCGCTTAATTCGATCAAAATTGACCTAAAAAAATCAAAAATTTCAATCGGGTTTTTCTTGATAGATGAAGAAACTTTTGATAGATGGAGCTTTTATCGTTTTTTTGATAAGTTTGTTTTTCGAATCAACGGTTTTCCTTTCAGCTTCTGTCTGCTAGTTTGCAATGTTATGTTTGTGTTGTATCGCAAGTGGTGTAAAGCTCTGCTTCGCCTCTGTAAGTTTTTTTTGTCCAACAAACAACGTTTTCCTCTGATTGATCTATTACATTTTCAATTAGCCATGATTATTCTTATTGGGTAGAAGATTTTTTTCCTATAAACAACGAGTTTCAAGTGCTGCTGATAAACGTTAATTCTGTTGACAGGCTCTGTATCGGGAAAAATGACCCTAAATTTACTGATTATCTCAACAATTTTTAAATCAATATATTTTTTTTAAATTTCCACAGGGTGGCGTTTTTTTATACTCATTGTTTGAGGTATTTTTATTGGAGCTCCCGGTGGAAAACTGGAAAACTTAATCATTCGAGTTTCTGAATTTTTTTGTAATTCTTTTTGTAAAATACCGTTTTTCAATGTCCGTAAGTACATTTGTTGCTGGCTAGTAAACCTAGTAAATCTCTTACAAGTGTTGGCTTGCTCTCCGATAAGTAGAACTACTTGTTTTGATACATTTTGCAGAATTGAATTTTATTCAACAATTTGTTAGTTATTGTTCTGACTTTCAAAGAATATATATGCCTAGGGTGTTTTATTCATACCTTTTTGGATCATTTGGGGGCTCCGTCCCCGGACCTACGTGTCCCCTGCCGTGCGCGCAGACCACTATCATAGCTTGACAGGTTTTTCAATCTAAAGCAAGTACAACTAAACATAGTTTTATACTTGGCTGATCGCTTTGTGCTGAAAGTTTAATGCGAAATATTTTCCATTGGCGAATTATCCCTCACAACAAAATCGTTCCAAGATGGCTAGAGGCAAGCTAATTGGTCTAATTAATTTCATGAAAGACTCAATTTTTACTATTTAACCTTTGATATTATCAGCCTAAAATCAGATAAAAGGCACTCGGACGGAACATTCAGGGCTTTGCCCTGATACGAGCACCATTGCGGAAGTTAAATATTTTGAATTTCATGTTGGCTCAATTTTCGCATTTTCAGAAATTTCGTCATTTATGGTTTCGTATCCAATGCCGTAACCAAAACAGCAGAACAAAACCGCCAAGTTTTTTAAGAGGAGACATGGAGCGAAAATACTTTGACCGTAATCAAAAGAGTCTTTGCCTTGAAATTAAAAAAAGATGAAATTAATACATTGAAAAGCTATTCAAAGATTGGCACGTCTACAATTTTCAGAAATGAAGTAAAAGTGCGCATAACCGACAAGTGCATTTTGAAAAAGCATTGGTGAGGCTTCAAAAAGATATATCGCTTTCAGTTACATGACAGCTTACATTTGATCGAAGTCGTTACACAATGGAACTAGCTAGAGCCAATGATGACAAACCGAAAGCCAAAAGGCGAAGAGAAACTGGATTCGAAGAATACGTAAGTTACTGTTGACACAATTTGTTCACGAACTTATGTAACAAGCTGATTTGTTCCGAAAAGATGCAAAACGAGCGCATTGACGATTGTGTCTGGCGCAATGAAGGGTCAAAAAGTGAATTAACCTTTCCAAAAAATGAATGAAGGGTCAAAAGTGATATATCTTTTCCGTGGTCAACCAATTACAGATCATGGGTGTTTCGCGAATTCCAGGAATGAACACGGTTCTCAAATCGAGTTATCGGACCAATTTTTTCCTGTGCATGTATAATCTTTGAAACAATTTTTATTGTTCCGACAAACCAAAGAGTCAGAAGGAACTATAATTACACAAGCATAGCTTGTTTTATAGTATGTACTTTCTTTTTTTACAACCTAAGCCGCAAATATTGTTGCGATGCAATTGTTGCGACAAAATGTGAAAGTTCATTTTGATCGAGCTATTAAGTACAGCCAATGCTAAGGATATTAATAGACTCTTATATTACAAATAGCACTTTAGCTTCAAGGCATCATGGATCTGTAGCGTCGAGGTACGGAAGGAGACCAGCAGCAAATTAAAAGGGTTCGAATCTGGACAGGGTCGGATATTTTTATGGAACTTTTTCATATACTAGCTTAAATGCGTTCGCTCTATAAATTGAGGCATGTTAGTTGGTTTTTTTTTCAAATTGACTGGTAATGCGTCATAATTAGCTTGTGTCACTTAGCAATTATGTAGACTCATAATTGGCGTGTGTCACTTAAGAAATTTTGTTGACACAAAGTTTTACTCATTCAGTTTTTCCCAGTAGCGTTATCGGTCATATTGTTGCTTGTGTATGCGATGTGCAATTTCGTCTCTGTGTTACTCTTGCGACTATCAAGCGTTATCAAGTGGGAATATTGACTTCTTCGGGTTATCAACTTGTTTAACCGATTCCTTTGGTATCTTGGTATATAATTAATTCAAATTTATAAGGGTCTCCTGAACATTGAGTCTGGAGATAACATTCACGCCTGGGACGACAAAGGTCCTGGGTTCAAATCTGACCAGGAGCTGTTTGTTAAACGGGAAATAATCCGTTTCAAAAAAGTTGTCAGCCTATTATTTGCGTGCTTATGTTTTATCGGCTTTATCTTGGAATTATTTGTTTTTTGAGTGTTTACGCAATTTTTAGAATTTTGCAGTTTTTTGAGTGTTTAAGCAAGGGTATTACAATCGGGTACTAGACTTTTTTCCCGTAAACAACTTGTCTACAAAATTTTCACTTCTTCTAGAGGATTTCCACTTCTACAGGATCTTTCATCTTTCAAATTTAATTAAAAGTACTTTCATTTAAATAGTAGTTAGTTCAAGCCCGTTTCAGTTGTAATTATCTTTTCAAAAAAGTTTCTGAATTTTTTTTCGGGTTCGTGGTTTTCGTCCTAATTTCTTTGGGCTCATTTTCCGTTTTTAAGCGCCATTTTTTGTTATCTGGTAGGGTTTTTATTGGCTCACTTTTTAAAGCATGGCTTTTGTTTCAATGTAAACAGTTTTTGCTATAACAGAGTTTCACAATTTTTTATAAATGTACCATGTCTGATTTTGAGTTTTTTAAGTATTGAAACAGTTTCTATTTTTGTTTTATCGATTTAGTCAATTTATTTTGCATTATTTCGAGGGTAAAATATATCCGTCTGGGCTTATGTGTTCCAATTGGATTGGTCGAAATACTTAATTTTTTTGATTTTTTAACAATAGTTTTGCTTTCGGTTCAACAGTTTTCGACCCAAAGTTTCTCGGTTTGTTGCCGCTCGGTAAATGCTTTTTACTTTTTAAGGGATGTTAATGAACTTCATCTGATACAATTATGAATTTTTGGTTGCGGTAATTATTCAACTTTTGTCTTGTTAATTTTTCAAGTAATTGTTTCCAACAGTTTTTCAGAACTTTTCATACTTGTCTTTTTTTTCATTCACCATTTTGTACCGCAATATGTGATTGGAATCGCAAGTGTTACGAAGCTCCGCTTTGCCTTTGTGTTAAAATAAATGTATTTACCGCAAATAGAGCTTCATTCCAGACAACATTGGAGATTTCTAGTAGTTTTCTTCGAATTCAGAAATGCTAATTTTATTTGTGTCCCACCTACATCCACCTCTCTACCACTTGCATCTACCGTCTACATAGGGTTTGCGATTAGGTTGTAGACTTAACGTGCAAGATTTTATAATGTTTTTTTTTCGAAACTGTTTTGGATGAATTTCAGTTTATTGGTTGTTAGCTTCAATTCTGTCAGCTTATGTGCATAATTTTTTCGTGTCAAATTTCGATCATATCTAATTGAGATCATAGCCAAATTTTGTGCCAAATTTTGATCTTGAAATTGACTTCTTTTAGGCAATATATTCTAGAAAGCTTGAAGTTATATTCTCCAACTCTTTAAAAATAACATTTTTTGTTAGAATTCAAAAAAAAAATTGATTTATTTTCACAATTATAACTTCGTTCAAAATTGAAATCGAGACTTCGCTAGTGGCAAGCTGAATTGAGAAAGCTTTATTTGTGTCCGTAAAGAAAATGTTTTTTTTTAAAAAAGATTTTGATAACTTTTGCTCATAGTTCTTAGATTTTATTGTTTCGAAATATCAGATTCATTCGATGTGTTTTTAATACGTTTTTTTTTGTTCTTTCGTTCTGTGTAGTTGTTTTCTTTTTAAGTTCATTTTGAGCATTGTATGAAAAAAATTTTGGTTTTATACTCATTAAACGTTTCTGTTGGCGAAGATAAAATTAGCTAGTTGTTTGCTTACTTAATTCTAATTCGTCGGTGAATTCTCCAATTTCTAATTCGTCGATAAACTCTGACAGAAATTGAAAAGGCACTGTAGGCATGATGTAGGCAAACCCCAGCACATATACAGTAACTGAAATCGCGTATTTACAAAAGCCAGCTTGCGAGTTTTTTCGCTTAAAAGCTTTATTCGGCCTCAATGGTTTCGGCTTAAGTTTTATCGGATTAGTTGAATTATTTGTCTCCTTTGAAGGGCCACATTATTGTTTGAAAAAAAAATCATTCAGGTTGGTTGTGGTGCAAAACTTTAAGTTTTAAAAATTATTAGCTCTGACTTTTTTCTTGTGGCTTTTTTAAACTCAATATGCATCTGTTCGCGTATTGGTAGCTTAAAAGTCGTGCGGTTAACGCGGTAGCGTAAAAGTTGTGCTAAACGCTTATTTAATGCTGGTGCTTGTATTTATCGGTTGTTTTTCTGAAATTGAGTCTTCCAATTTTGCCAAAGTATTTTTTTCGACTCAGTTATTTCCATCTCATTTTCTATTCGCTTGCTTACAATGCTACACTTGCGGTGTATCGCAAGTAATGCGAAGCTCGGCTTTGCGTCTGTTTTTAGTTTTATTTAATGTGGTAATCAAAGTTCAACTTGGGAGAAATTCAAAATGGAGTATGCAAGGTAGTTGTAGTTGGCCACATCTTGCTATTTCAAAGATGGAATTTAGATATCGATTTTAAGGGATAGCGTTCTACTTGCTCAAGCTGCTTTTTGCTTAACGCAGATAAAAGATACGTTCTCTTTTATGGTTTCCAGCGAATTGACCGCTTCTGCTTTTTTCGGAGCCGATTTTTGCTTTTACCGCTTTTCTAAATTATAGATCTGCGCTTTTTAAGAAAACAAACAAGGAAATATTAATTGAATTAAATCAGCTAGTTTTTAAGTGCAGAAGATTCTCGAGAACTTTTGCGCCCAAGCGACTACGTTTTTTTGAGAGAATGTTTCCGAATTGGGAAAAATGAAGTGGATTGTTGATTTTGACAATGGGCGAGAATAATTTTCAATTTGCCGAATTGGGAAAAATGAAGTGGATTGTTGATTTTGACAATGGGCGAGAATAATTTTCAATTTGCCTATTTTTATTAGAATGAGCTATATCCATTCAATGCAGCTTCTTTTTCTTTTACAGAAAGGGTCGATGTAGCAAGTTTTCAAAAAGTTGTGGTTGGTCGTTGGAATTCTTTGGGTCGAATCTTATTTTTCCCAGGCTTATTTTCGTGTTTTGCTGAATATTGTCCTTTTTGCAAGTTTTTGCAGTTGGCTTTGTGTTTTGCGCTTGTAATTGACTATATGTTTTCTCAAGTACACGTAACTATTTTCATCGTTTGTGTCCCACCACCAGTTTTGGCGAAAACACCCGGTTCTTTGCAATCGGGTGTTTTTTCCAGCAAATTCAGTTACCACATTCAGTTGTTTGATTTGGCTGAGCTTTCTAAAAACGGTAAGAATTTTCAAGCTTTTTTAAAACGACTTTTCTCTTTCTCTTTGCACTTAAGGAGGTTTAGAAGAGCTCGGAAGAATCAATCGGAGTAAGAAGGAGAAATGATGCTACGTTTTTAATCCGACCATTGCATATGGAGGAACTTTGTGTTCGGGTGTGTTTTAGTTTTTTTTTTTTCATATTTTTTACGCAAAATCAGCTTCCACAAATAATCATCGGAATGCGTTCAATGATATATCATATTAAAGCCCTTTCAGTTGTAATCCGAACGACTTGAAAAAATTTGAATTAAAAAAAAAGTTTAAAAAAAAGGTTTTTCCAGTGTCGAGAAAAACAGGTATTTTTGATTCGAGCGAGTGAAGCGAGCGAGCACTCTCATTTATGCTTAATTTAGGCCGTTTAGAATAGCTTATTTATGCTCAATTTTAGTTTTACTCGAGTAAATGACTTTTTCTTCACAAACTGTTGTTTTTATAGACTATGGTCGGAATATTTTGTGCTACTTGCTCAGTAACCAGCTATCCTTGTTGTAGTTTGACATTTTAAAGTATCACCAAAAATCATAATGATTGAACATGATTGAAAAATTAGGAAAATAAGCGCTGAAGTTTTGTTTAGGTTTTTTGCCCTTGTTTTTTTTTTCTTAAATAATTTTGTTCACAGAGTGATCCTTTAAGTAGGAATGGTAAAAATCACTTCTGGCTTGCTCAGATTGTTGAAATTCTAATGAATCTACCGTACTTTAAGTAACAATTAAGTAAGACTGTTCAGGTTGTAAGTTTTTTAAAAAATTTTCTCAGTTTTTTTAGGGCTCGTGTTTTCGTCCTAGTTTCTATCGCTACAGTTTTTTTTATCCGGTAGGGCATTAACTGGCTTACTTTCTAAAAAATGGTTTTTTTCTCAGCTTGGACGATTTTCTTACTATAACTAAAAGTTAAGTAATTTGTAAATTTGCGTACTTCTGTCTGACTTTGCGTTTTTTTTTGTGTCTTTTAATATTCACTTTAGCGAGCAGCTAGTGCGTTAGTACGAACCTTTTTTTTATTTTTTAACCTAAAACTTGCAACTAAAAGTGTTCATTGAAAGTGGAAAGTGTTCACTTATTTGGTGACATTTTTGCTTTAATCACGATCTAGCATTAGAAATTTCATAGCATCAGCTCTCTACTTTTTTTGTGGCTAGTATTTGTGAAAAATTAAGTGTGCGTGACCGAGTGGTTAGTGCGTGAGACCCAAATTTTCTAGATCACAGTAGGTCGCAGATCGAATCCGAGACGTAGCCGCATTTTTTCTAATTCGAAGTTTGTTTCTCTTCTTTCTGATTGCACTTTGTAGAGCTGCTTTTTGTCGTGTTTTCGCTTGTGTTAGCGGAGCGTATCTTCGGCTCTGTGTTAAACTTTTTGTGTTACTTAGCTTAGTCAACTTATATTGCGTAATTTTGAGGGCATTTATGCGTGATTTTGTAGGCATTTCGGGGCATTTTGCGTGATTTTGTTTTTCAGTATGGATGGGCCGTAAAACTTCTAAAACTTCATGAAAACTTTTTGACATCAATTTTGTTTTCGGCTCACATTTTTTTCGATCCGAAATTTGCCGCTTTTGTTCCCGCTTGGTCAATGACTTCCCTTTTTTAAGGCTGTTTATGAACTTCATCCGATTTAGCCATGAACTTTTTGTTTTTTTGTTAAGCTATAGTTTTTCCAACTTTTGTAAGTTATTTTTTCAACTTATTTTTTTCCCGAAAATTTTCCTGACTTCCTTTTTTTGTTCATTCTCTATCTTATAGCGCAAAAAATAGCGAGATTCGATGTTTTTAAATTTAGTTGAATACTGGCTGTTGTGTTCCGTTCACGAGTTTTATTTTGAGACAAACATTTGAATTTTTTGGAAACTGTTTTTTTTTTGCGTTTTATCATTGTTTTTTTTTTTACAATTCGGTGGCTTACTGTATCGCAAGTTGTGCGAATCTCAGCTTCGCCTCTCTGTAAAGTTTTTTTGTGCACTGCAAGCAGTTTTCATTATGTTCTCGAGTTCGTTGATTAACTCCTGTAGTTTGTAATTTTATTAACCCTGACTGGTATATTTTAGTTTTTGTTTCTTTGTTGCGCTTAGAAATTTCATTCAGCCTGAATGAATTCGGCCTAGATTTATCGTCTTAGTCAATTTGTGTTGCGTAGTTTCAGGGCTAGCTTTTTCAATGCTTTTGTCTGTTTTAGGAGGGATGGACCGTGAAAATTTTGATTTGAAAAATTTTATAGCTTGAAATTGTTTTAATGAATTATTTCGCCGGCTTAAAGAATGTCGACTCAAGTTTTGCCCTAGTTGCCGCTCAGTCATTGATTCTTAGTGTTTGTTAAGGCTTTTTCTGGACATCATCCGAGGCAAAGGTATGGAACTTGAGCTGCAGTTTTTTCGACTTTTTGCTAGTTATGGAACTTGTAGATGTAGTTTTTGACTTTTTGCTAGCAATTTTTTTGTTTTTTTTTTTGAAAAAAAGACTTCCCTCTTTTCTTCTATTCAATATCTTGTGATGAAATGTCTTAATTGTATCGCAGGTGTTGCAAAGCTCCGCTTTGCCTCTCTGTTGGCCGCTTATATTGATGATGTCTCTCCCGTCGCTCCTACTAGAAAAAATTGGACAAAATATTGTAATACACCCGATTTAAAAGAAAATCCAAAGAATTGTCTGTATATAAACAATTTTTGCACAGTAACCAAAATTTTCAATTAGTTTTTGTGTCTTTCATCAGCTTGTGCTGTTTTAGCAAGCCAATGTTTTGAGGGTGGTGATTTGACAGTTCTGAAAGAGTGGCGGAAGCGAGTGGTTTTACAGCTAGATGATTTTTCTATATTAGAAACGTTCAAGGTTTTTCACGTTTTTTTTTGTGTGCATGCTTGGCCGGTGACACCAAAATCATGGAATCAGCTCATCATAAAAAATCACCATGTATTTTTTAAGACATTTTAGGACATTGCCATTTTCGTAAAACGGGTTTTAAACTACTGTGAGTGCAAATAGCCAATTTTTTTTTTAAATTGTCTGAGTCTCCATGACCACCCGGTTGCGATAATTTTGCATCCAAATATTTTCACACTCAACTGAACTGTTAAACTGGCCTCTGTACTTACATAATGCTCAGGCCAAATTTTTAGACACTGTTTTCGGTGATCGGATCTAGGTAACACCAACAAAACAAAATCAGAATTTATCCCTATTTTAAGATAACGGGGCTTCTACGAACCAAGCGCATTCTAGTAATCCCTTAATTTTACATGGATTGTGATGAAAATGTGGAACTTTTCTGGAACAAACTACTGATTTTTTGCGTATCGAGACAAATGAAAACAAGGGAATTCTGAAAACAGTGCTATTCAAACAATTCATAAGGATTCATTACTCCTAATATTGATCCAGAAACACTTCTGAGATTAAAAGTACGTGGATAAAGAAATCCGGTGATGATAAGGTAAAATAAATCATAAGGTCAAAACGTTGCTAAATTTAGGGAGGATACATGGGAGCGAAGGAGAGAAAACTGGCACTTCAAAATGAGCAAAGACACATCAACTTCAATAAAGAAGTGTCATCCATCTCCTGTGACAGCACAATCTCAAAATCAAATGCGAACATTTTCATAGGAACTAAAATCCATATAAATGGATACACAAGTAAGTGAAAAAAAAAATCAGGAAACAATCAGGCTGCAATATTAGAATAAGTTATTACACTTGCGATAGCAAGTGTGTTGCAGTCGGGTACTAGACTTTTTTGTTCGTAGAGAACTTTGGTCGCGGGATAAATTAAATTGGTGGTATTCTCAAAACCTGCACTTTTGTAACTAACAGACAACTTTTGAGCATTTCTGCTTTTTAATTTCACGTTATAAGCGAAATTTGCCTTTGGTTGAAGTTTTATCAACTCGATTAGTTAAAGTTCCATTTTTTTTCCATTTTTTTTGGCTTGAAAGGTTTAAATCTACATTCTTTTATTGGCTTAGTGGCCCCATATTGCGTCGTTTGATGAATGCGAGCTTTTTTGTGTGCGTATTTGTGTGTTAAACTCAAAAACGTTTAATTAACTTTTAAATCTTGATTTTTTTCAGCTTTAATGGTTTATGCTCTGGTGGTTTCGGCTTTGTTATCACAAGGTAAGTTTTTTCCGATGCTAATTTCAATTTCTGTTGTCTTAGCATGTTTTTTCGAAACTAGCTATATAACCCTTATAGGGTATAAGTAGGGGATTGCAATCAGGTACAAGACTGTTTTCACGTAAATAACTTTGTTCACCGGATCTCCAATTTCAGAAGATCTCCAGTTTCCATCTAGTTGCATTTTTAGCAGCTCAGTTCTAGGTCTAGAGTTAGTGTGTCCAGGGTTATTGCGTAACTGAGTCTGCTGCTGACAAATTTCAGATGTAATTTGATTTTTTGTAGGCTTAATTGATTTCGTCTCAATTTTTGTCGACTTATTTTCCGGTTGTTTTTTAGTAATATTATGTTCAATTCATTTGTTTAATTCAATTTAACTTCGAAGAAATTAACTATTTTACGTTGATTTTTGTTTTTAAAAACGCTTAAAATTTCTGTATAAAAACGATAAAAGAATAATTTTAAATCGATATTTTCTTTCAAATTTTTTTTCTTAAAATTGTTTTTTGAAGGCCTGATCTCTGATTTTTTTTGTTCTCAAAGTATGCAGATGGCTCCAAGCAATTTAGCGTCAAAATTACTTTTGAGCAATTTCATTGTCAATCCATTCATGATGAAATGTCACAGCGTTTTTTTTAATGTTTCAAGTTTCCGAAAAGTTTTGTTTTGCAATGTTTACTCGACTAGTGTTTCTATAAAGTTCTTTGGCGCGTGCCGCACGATTTTCAAGATTTTGGCTGTTCCTGGCTAAAATTTTTTGAAAAATTTAATTTTTATAATTTTGTATTCAAGGTGCGTTTTTTTTGGATTACCTCTCTTACCGTACGATTTTCACATTGATTTAATTGGGGTTACTTGGGTTATCTTCATAGGCTTTCGGCGGTATACTGATTTTCTGCATTTTCTTATTTGTAGTAATTGTTTGACAATTGTGTTGTCAAAGTTTTTTGAATTTTGATCTTTGTTCATAGGAAGCAATCGAACCTGCCTTTTGGTACCCCAGAATTTTCTTCCAAGATTTTGATCCAAGTTTGTTTTGTTCCAAGATTTTTAGAGTAGTTTATTAGGTATACTTTATAGTTTTTTATTTTGAATAATTTTTTTTGGAGGTTTTTATTCTCTCCACTTTCTTCTTATCCTTTCTATTTGATATTTATCAGAAATAAATGAATAGAATTAATGTAGCTTGAGCCCTTTTTTATTACAGTGGATTATTCTTAAGGAGAATTGCTCAAACTTTTCTACTTTTCAGCCGACGATTTTCTCAATATGTTAAATCTTGATTTTTTTTAGCTTTAATGGTTTATGCTCTGGTGGTTTTGGCTTTGTTATCACAAGGTGAGTTTTTTTTCCTATGCTAATTTCAATTTCTGTTGTCTGAGCATGTTTTTTTCGAAACTAGCTTTATAACCCGTATAGGGTATAAGTAGGGGATTGCAATCAGGTACAAGACTGTTTTCACGTAAATAACTTTGTTCACCGGATCTCCAATTTCAGAAGATCTCCAGTTTCCATCTAGTTGCATTTTTAGCAGCTCAGTTCTAGGTCTAGAGTTAGTGTGTCCAGGGTTATTGCGTAACTGAGTCTGCTGCTGACAAATTCCAGATGTAATTTGATTTTTTGTAGGCTTAATTGATTTCGTCTCAATTTTTGTCGACTTATTTTCCGGTTGTTTTTTAGTAATATTATGTTCAATTCATTTGTTTAATTCAATTTAACTTCGAAGAATTTAACTATTTTACGTTGATTTTTGTTTTTAAAAACGCTAAAAATTTCTGTATAAAAACGATAAAAGAATAATTTTGAATCGATATTTTCTTTCAATTTTTTTTCATTAAATTGTTTTTTGGAGGCCTGGTTTCTGATTTTTTTTTGTTCTCGAAGTATGCAGGTGGCTCCAAGCAATTTAGCGTCAAAATTACTTTTGAGCAATTTCATTGTAAATCCATTCATGATGATATGTCACAGCGTTTTTTTTTTAATGTTTCAAGTTTCCGAAAAGTTTTGTTTTGCAGTGTTTACTCGACTAGTGTTTCTATAAAGTTCTTTGGCGCGTGCCGCACGAGTTTCAAGATTTTGGCTGTTCCTGGCTAAAATGTTTCGAAAAATTTAATTTTTATAATTTTGTATTCAAGGTGCGTTTTTTTTGGATTACCTCTCTTACCAAACGATTTTCACATTGATTTAGTTGGGGTTACTTGGGTTATCTTCATAGGCTTTCGGCGGTATACTGATTTTCTGCATTTTCTTATTTGTAGTAATTGTTTGACAATTGTGTTGTCAAAGTTTTTTGAATTTTGATCTTTGTTCATAGGGAGCAATCGAACCTGCCTTTTGGTACCCCAGAATTTTCTTCCAAGATTTTGTTCCAAGTTTGTTTTGTTCCAAGATTTTTAGAGTAGTTTATTAGGTATACTTTATATTTTTTTATTTTGAATAATAATTTTTGGAGGTTTTTATTCTCTCCACTTTTTTCTTATCCTTTCTATTTGATATTTATCAGAAATAAATGAATAGAATTAATGTAGCTTGAGCCCTTTTTATATTACAGTGGATTATTCTTAAGGAGAATTGCTCAAACTTTTCTACTTTTCAGCCGACGATTTTCTCAACATGTTAAATCTTGATTTTTTTCAGCTTTAATGGTTTATGCTCTGGTGGTTTCGGCTTTGTTATCACAAGGTAAGTTTTTTCCGATGCTAATTTCAATTTCTGTTGTCTTAGCATGTTTTTTCGAAACTAGCTTTATAACCCTTATGGGGTATAAGTAGGGGATTGCAATCAGGTACAAGACTGTTTTCACGTAAATAACTTTGTTCACCGGATCTCCAATTTCAGAATATCTCCAGTTTCCATCTAGTTGCATTTTTAGCAGCTCAGTTTTAGGTTTAGAGTTAGTGGGTCCAGGGTTATTGCGTAACTGAGTCTGCTGCTGACAAATTTCAGATGTAATTTGATTTTTTGTAGGCTTAATTGATTTCGTCTCAATTTTTGTCGACTTATTGTTGTTTTTTAGTAATATTATGTTCAATTCATTTGTTTAATTCAATTTAATTTCGACGAAATTAACTATTTTCCGTTGATTTTTGTTTTTAAAAACGCTTAAAATTTCTGCATAAAAACGATAAAAGAATAATTTTAAATCGATATTTTCTTTCAATTTTTTCTCATAAAATTGTTTTTTGAAGGCCTGATCTCTGATTTTTTTTGTTCTCAAAGTATGCAGATGGCTCCAAGCAATTTAGCGTCAAAATTACTTTTGAGCAATTTCATTGTCAATCCATTCATGATGATATGTCACTGCGTTTTTTTTAATGTTTCAAGTTTCCGAAAAGTTTTGTTTTGCTATGTTTACTCGACTAGTGTTTCTATAAAGTTCTTTGGCGCGTGCCGCACGAGTTTCAAGATTTTGGCTGTTCCTGGCTAAAATGTTTCGAAAAATTTAATTTTTATAATTTTGTATTCAAGGTGCGTTTTTTTGGATTACCTCTCTTACCGTACGATTTTCACATTGATTTAATTGGGGTTACTTGGGTTATCTTCATAGGCTTTCGGCGGTATACTGATTTTCTGCATTTTCTGATTTGTAGTAATTGTTTGACAATTGTGTTGTCAAAGTTTTTTGAATTTTGATCTTTGTTCATAGGAAGCAATCGAACCTGCATTTTGGTAACCCCAGAATTTTCTTCCAAGATTTTGTTCCAAGTTTGTTTTGTTCCAAGATTTTTAGAGTAGTTTATTAGGTATACTTTATAGTTTTTTATTTTGAATAATAATTTTTGGAGGTTTTTATTCTCTCCACTTTTTTCTTATCCTTTCTATTTGATATTTATCAGAAATAAATGAATAGAATTAATGTAGCTTGAGCCCTTTTTATATTACAGTGGATTATTCTTAAGGAGAATTGCTCAAACTTTTCTACTTTTCAGCCGACGACTTTCTCAACATGATTCATTTATTGTGTCTTTCTCCTCATTCGAGTCTGATTATCTTTCGAACTTTCGTATTCAATTTTGTATAGCAAGTGGTGCGAAGCTCTGTTTTGCCTTTGTGTTCCTTTTCACTTCTTTTTTTATTCGACATTTCGAATTTCGAATATTCTCGTTTTGCTTTACCAAGTTTTTTTTACAGTCTTCGAAAAAGTCTGTGGGGGGATATTTGACCGATATATATATATATATATATATATATTTTCAAAAACTGACCAACCAAGTCAGAGGTTTTTTTGTTCCAATCAATACAGCGGATATGGCCACGCACAAATTGTCTTACACAAAAAGATATCATCCTCTAAAAAGTCAATTTGTTGAATCTTTTGAGCGTTTTTGTTTCTAGTTTTTACAATTTTACCGAAAAGTACCCTCCTATATCTGATATGTTGGGTTCAATCCTAAGAAGGGGTCGTGGAAAGCTTCTTTGCATAAGCGAATACGCCCAAACTTTTTTGACACGAAAAAATTTAGCCCTCGGAAAAGTCAAAACTTTGATTTCTTGACCGTTTTTTGAAACTTTTTGACTGTTTTCGAGAACTACCCTGCAGAAGTACCCTACCACTTACAATTTTTTTTACTCAAAAGTTAGCGTCCTCGGAAAAATGAATTTTTGAAAATTTATTGAGCATTTTTTGTAAACTTTGAATTTTAACGAAAATGACGCTCTTATATCTGAGATATTGGGTTCAACCCAAAGAACGGATTACGTGAAGCTCTTGCATACGCGACTACGCGCAATTTTTGACACAAGAACTTGTTTTTTTTTTACCGTTTTTGAAATTTTTTGACTTTTCTTCAGAACTACCCTGCGAAACCTGGGTTTTTTGGTACAATCGAAACTACTGGTTGCGGGAATTTCTTCTGCATAAGCGACTACGCGCGAAATTTTTGAAACAAAAAGCTATGATTCTCGGAAATGTCAACTATCTGATTTGTTGACTGTTTCTTGGACTTTTCTCGATCACTATCATGCCAAATCTGTTATCATTGGTTTAATCGACATAACAGGTTGTCAGAAGCTTATATTTGCAATTTGCTACGCCCAGTTTTTTTGAAAAAAAAAATGGTTTTAAAAGAAGTGAAAGTTTTGAAACGTCGGCTGTTTTTTTGTGACTTTATTCGAAAATTATTGTGCAAATTCTCAGGTTAAGTGTTCAATTGAGAAACCCGATTTTGGGAATCTTCTCTACTTTACCAGCCACGAACTGGTTTTAGCAGAAAAAAGTTACGGATTTCGGAAAGTCTAGTTTTTGAACTTTGACCGTTTGTTAGAAATTTTTTGAATTTTCTTAAAAACTACCGTATCAAATCTGAGATGAAAAATTCAATTGAAAGAAGCTGTTGCGCGATTTTTTTTCCTGCAGAAGCGGCTACATTTTTTTGTAAGAGAAATGTTATTTCTGTGGGAAAATTCCTCAATCTCAAATTTTCACTCTTCTCATTTAATTTAGTAGAGAAACAACTAAGCTTTTGGGCAAAGCCCAATTTTTGAAATTACGCATTTCGTTCTGCATCATTATAATGAATTCAAAAAATATCAGACACATATATCCAGCTTTAGTTGTGCCCTAGATGTCCTTCATCGGGTTATACTAAAATTTTAGCTCGCCTAGTTTTTTTCAACGCTTTCCATTTTTATGATTGTGTTGTATCGCAAGTGGTGCGAAGCTCCGCTTCGCCTCTGTGTAAAAGAGTCAATCATTGTTTTCTATGTTTGTTTGTTCAGAGCCCTCCTCTGATGCTTTGCGTGATATGATCGTATCCAGGGGAGGCCAGATGGTGCACTTCTTCCAGAAGACGAAAGTGACTCACATGCTGGCCATGAACCTGCCACAGTCTAAAATCAACTCACTTCTCAAGGTCAACACCGCCCAGGGAGGACAAAGCGGTCATTCCTCTCAACCAGTGAAGGTTGTTCATCCCAACTGGATTCTGGATTGGTAAGATTTGAACAAAAGTGTCAGTTATTGAGAATCGGCCATTCAAAAAACTACGTCTTTTTCCTAGAAATACTGGAGTCGATAAAAGTGATTTTTGTTCGTTATTTTTTTAGGTTCAAATTCAAAGTTTGTTCAGGTTTAAATTTACTCTTTCGTGGCTTGAGTTTTGATTTTTTCCACGTTGTTTTTTCCTTTGTTAAAAGGAAGGTAAACTCCACTGTCGAATAGCGAAAAAGTAAAAGTCACGAAAAACGTGATCGACTTCTAATTTCGAAAACGGACTTCAATTATCAGATTTCCCAGCGAATTAAAAAATTTCCCTATTGATACAGTTCTCTCAGATCAAAAAATGTCACTATCATATTGTTCTAGAAATTCAAAGGGCTTTGAGGCCATCTTTTTTTTTATTTGAAATTTGTAAGTTATTTTTTTTTCAGTATTTTTTTCTGTTTACTTTCTTTATCGACTGTCTGTAGGCTATTTTATCTGTTTATGTTTCTCGCAGGTTTCTACTTGTTCAATTTTGTGTTTTTAATAGACAGTTCATCAATCAAAGGGACAAAATTCTAAACTAGATTCATGCCTTGATCGAGTTAGCTTGCTGTTTCTAGTGTAGCAGCTGGTCGACTGCTGTCAAGTACTCCCTATCTTCTGTTCACGGAAGAGGGACAGAAGAGAAGTGAAGTCCAGAGACGAGTAAAGTCACCTTCACATTCGCCGTCTGCGATACCAAAACAACCGGCAATTTCTTCTGAAGAATCGACGATAGAACAAATGATAGTCGGTGAATCTGAAACAAGACCAATCTCAGATAATACCGGTGATGCTCTTTTTGAGTCTAGTGGCATACTATTTGAAGAAACCTCTTCGAATGAAAAAACAACTGAGATTCCCAGAAATCAACAACTGAATGCATCGCAGGAAGGCGAGGGCAGGAGAAAGGATGAGGTTGGGATACTCGCCTCGGCAAACGTCGATTTCCCAAGTGATAACTTATCGCTTCTTATCACTGAATCTCTTTTTGAGGAGTCTCAAAAACAACAGGAAACTGACGAGCCTCCAGCTGAAAATATTTCGAATCTAATTGAGTTTGAATCTGGCACTAGCAATAGAAAAAAGTGCGAAAACAGCGCAGCATTAGATCGAGTTCATCAATGGAAGCTGACCTCGAATCCCAACTACGAATCAAGTACATGCATGCAAACAAATAGACTTACTGTAGCTTCTTCTTCTAAATTTGATAGTTCGTCTAGAATTGCGAAAGCAGGTGACAAAGATTTCCTCAAAGAATTCTACGGAAACTCTAGGCTTCATCACATCTCGATGTGGGGCTCACAGTTCAAACAGCTGGTCAAACAATTCCAGACCAAACCTCCAAAAGACGCGATAAATTGGGACACTTTTGAACCTCAAGACGCAGATTTTAACTTGAGCAGCATTAATCATAGGTGCAAACCATGTTGCTGGGAACCAGCGTTAAACGATCATTCAAATGAAGTGAAAGTTATTCTGCATGTAGATATGGACTGTTTCTTTGTGAGTGTGGGTCTTTTGAAGCATCCGGAGTTGAGAGGCCAGCCGGTTGCAGTCACACATAGCAAGGGATCCGGTCCCGTAGTCAGTGACGAAGTCTCTGGAGGCACCAAGGCAACGATGAGTTTTCGAACAGCATTTTTTCCGTTGTCTTCAGTGGATGGTTATAAACTAAATTAAGAGTACCCAGTTGCTATCGAATTGGCCCATGTTGTTCATCTGATTAGTGAATTATATTTTCAACAAAATAGATGACTTTTTTATTAGAATAATGAACGAAGTGAGACTCTTATATAGCTCTTGGTGTTTTTTTGTTTTTTTTTTCAGGAAAAAGTCTGTTAATTTATTTACGCTCAATTTTTCGCGGTTTGGCTTTTGATTTTTTTTTGAGTTCAGCTCTTTCATTTGTTTAAAGGAAGGCAAACTCCACTATAGAATAGGAAAAGTGTAAAAGTCACAAAAACGTGATCGACTTCTAATTTCGAAAAAGGAAATTATTTATCAGATTTTCCTGCGAAATAAAAGTTTTGCCTATTGATCCAGTTTTCTCAAATTGGATTAATTTTTATCAAAAAGCACCGATCATTAATTATTAGTGGTGTTTTATTCGAAGAGTGTTAAGGGTATGTATTTTTTCTTCAAAGTTCGAAAGTTGACATTTTCTAAGTCATTTTTTTTCTGTTTTCTTTTTTTCTTGTTCGCTCTTCTCCATCTGCCAGTTGGCTCTGTTGATTTGATCAAGTTTTGCTTTTAAATTATATATATGAGCTTTTTTTAAGAATCTCAAATCACGTGACAAAAAGTTCCAACGCTAAACCTCTTTCCTTTCTTTTGAGTGTGGTCCAAAACATGCAAATGATGTCCTTGTGGGTAATTGAATTGAATCAAAATACTGTGATTTGAGTGGCACTAGAAAAGCTAAAACAGTGCAAATGATCCCCCGATTCATTTCAGCAGCCGGTTTTTTTGCTGATAGTAGTTTTCTTGAATATGAAAAACTTGAAAAAGAAATCGAAATTTCAGTATTTAGTAAAATAACACGGTTTTCAAAAAAATTAGAAAAAATTATTGTAGTTAATTAATTCAACTGGCAGACTCGTTTCGTTTTTCTAATCTTTTGAACTGTTGATGTCCATCGTTGCCCAGACCGATATCCTTAAATCGTATGCCGAAATCGCTAGTTGCAGTTATGAAGCTAGATCTCGAGGCGTGAAGAACGGAATGCTGATGAAAAACGCGGTGGTTCTCTGTCCCGAACTGAAGACTATACCCTACAATTTCGAGGAGTACCACGAAACTGCGGCAACTATGTATAATATTGTTGCTAGATATTCACGGGTTATTCAGGCAGTAAGTTGTGACGAGTGTTTTGTAGACATCACGAACTGTGTGAACAAATCTAACTTGACTCCATGTCAAATTGCGACCTTAATAGTATCGGAAATATTTGCTAAAACCAAGTGTAGCGCATCTGTTGGCGTTTCGACTAATATGCTTCTGTGTCGCTTGGCCACAAAGAGCGCTAAGCCGAACGGAATTTTTTCTATCGGAAGTGAAAATCAAAGAGTTTTGTTCAAACATTTAGACACGCTCAATGTAATGGACTTACCAGGCGTCGGATTCTCGAGTCGAAGCCAGTTGCAATCTCTCGGAATTGCTACGATCGCCGACTTGAGGCTCCGGGAGCTAGTCGAGCTGAAGTCCGTTCTCGGCGGAAAAACAGGTGAAATGTTGTATAACTATAGTCGTGGAATCGATAACAGAGAACTTAATAGTGTTATTAAACGCAAAAGTGTATCGGCCGAAATAAATTATGGAATTAGACTCTCAAAAATGGATCAAGTTTACAGTTTTGTTGGAGAGCTGATTTGCGAAGTTCATAGACGGTTATTGGAGTGTGAGATGGTCACAAAAAGTATTTGTTTGAAATTGAGAATAAGAGCACAAGACCAACCGAAGGAAACGAAAAAGTTCATGGGTTGTGGAATCTGCGATACAGTCAACAAATCCAAAAATTTGCTTTCATATTCGAACAATTTAGACTTACTGAAACGAGAAGTGTCACAGATACTGAAAAATATCAAGTTCGACCCTTCCGACTTGCGAGGAGTGGGGATTACTCTGAATAAACTAGCAGATGAAAGCAACACTGTTTCACCATCTAAATTCAGAGACATTTCCAAAATGTTTTCCAGGTCCAGAAATTCGAACGTAAATTGTAAAAAAGAGTTAAAATATCCACCTACTGCTGGTGGAAATTCAGCAGCGGCAAAAAATGTATCAGAAGCCGTGAAAAAATTAAAGCTATGCCAAGTTGGTTCCATGAAAACGCATCAGCCAGAAACTGAATATCATTGCGACAAGAATGAAAGTGTATCTAATTTACGGAGAAATTCAACTTTGTGGTCTAAAGCTGCGCAGAAAAGCGGAGTTTATATAAGCCCGAACGAAAATAATGAACCAGGACCGTCGGAGTGCAGACTGCCGACGATCGATTTGGACGACTTAAATGACTACTTACTCGACTCAGACGACAATGACCCTAGTGTCGCTATAACATCGAAGGTCAAAAGGTCACCTGATGTGAACACCCGTCTAATGCAGAATCAGAGAGCCAAATCGAGGCGCAAAACTCAAATTCAAAACCAAATCACAATTCGTTATGTGGCACCAGAGGTCAAAAAGAGCGTTTGGAATCGAAGTGAACCCGCGAAAAACAAAAAGTTTGCGAGTAATATAGATGACAACAAATACGAAGAGCAGTTTCCATGTTTTGGAGACACTTCGAACATAGACGAAGCATGCAAACTTCTCTATGATTGGATTACGGAACCAAACTCAGGTTTGAGTTTTCAGCATTAATGCTCAATTTTTTGATACGGAGGAAGTTGACAGAAGATGAAAAAATTACTGAACGTTTCAGCTATTAGCGCTACTAAGAAAAGATTGTTTAAAAAACAATCAGCGGTTTTTCAAACGTGTTACCTGAAAAAGTCTAATTGATCAAAAAGAGCAGATTTTTACTGTTTTAAAAAGTGTTGAGGATTTTTTTATTGGCCAGCAATTCGATAATATGGAGCTCTGCTCAAATCTTAAAATGGCCATACTTACGAAAATTTTCTGCACCACAGGGATTTTTTTTGTCAGTAATTTCCGTTTTTGAGCTTTTTTTGGGAGGTAATGTACCGGAAGGTTCTTTACCTCCCAATTTCCGTAATTTCCGTTAAAACAGTAAAAATCTGTAGAAGTGCCAATTGCACTTCAACCGGCTGTTTTTTCTTACAGTTGCGATAGAGAGAGCAAGCGTCTTGTTCCCGGTAACTAGACTGTACCCAAATCTGTAAGAAATCGAACTTGCTTTATTATTGAACCTTAAACAACCTGCAGGGTACTTCCCAGCTGGTTTAGAAACAAGAAGGTTGACTTTGCTCCCTAAGCTCGGGTTCGAGTTCCGGTGAGACCTTTTTTTTTCAGTGTGTATGAAATTGAAATCTTTTGTCGCGAATTAATTATATTGTCGGAGTTTTGTTTGTTTAATGTTCATCGGCTCAATTTCCAAATCATCATTTTTTTGGAATTTAAAAAAAGTCTTACTTTAAGTCGTCCTGTCTTTTCCAATATACCATTTTTTTTTTACAATTCCCAATATATTTTTTTTGGATTATATTGGTTTCGGCTTATTTTAGTGGTTTGATCAATTTATTTTGTATCGCTTGAGGAGAAAAAATTGATTATTTTCAGTTTTAATTCAGTGCGGCTTTGGTCTGAAATTTTCAAGTTATAAAACTTAAGTGCTCAAAATTTTCTCAGTACAATAACTTCTTATGGCATTGTTTTGTTTTTGGCTCAATGGGCGTCTACTGAAGTTTTGGCGGCTTAGTGGCTATTCGCACAATTATACTAAAAGTTTATTTAATGCTGGTTGTTGTGATTCTCGACTGTTTTACTGAAATTGATTTTTTTTCTTTTTTTTTCAAAAAAATGCAGATTTTTCGACTTAGTGATTTCCGTCTCATGTTCTGTTCACTAGATCATAACGCTACGTTGCATTGTATCGTAGTGGTGCCAAGCTCTGCTTCGCGTCTGAGTAAATATTGACAGTATTTGCTTAGAGCTCACCGAAATGGACAGTGACATCCTGGCTGATTTTTGCAGTGAGTTGATCAAAAGAGATTACCTGTTCCAACTGACTGTCTTTCTCCGATGCATGCGACGACTCATAGTGGGTAGAAATTCACCAGAATGGAACTCTGTCTTCAACCAAGTCTGCTCAAGGGCATTAGAAAACGTGAGAGCAAAAACGGGAATCAAACTCAAATTGTGAAAAAAAAAATTAATCAATGGCATCTAAATGAGTTATATCCTAGGTAAATGGAACAATATTTTAGCACTATCTTTAAATTAGTCAGAAAGCTTTTTTATATGAGATTGACAAGAAACAGACCAGCAGTTTTCAATAGCTTTTAAGTGTTGTGAGGTTTACCAAGCTTTTTGTTCCGACTTTCGATACGAAAGTAACGGAATATTTGTGCTCGGGGTGGTTTTTTTTTCTTCAGACAATTTTCGGCTTTTTAACTAGCCATTTTTGACGGAATTTTTTTATATCATTCGAAAGGTATTGTTGTCCTGAGCTCAAATTTGAAAAGATATTTCACCTGTAATTATTTTTCGTATAGTTACGGGGGTTTAAAGATTGCCATTTTGGCCAATTTGGGACAATTAACGCGCGATATATTTCGCCCTGTTAACGCGTAAGCGGAGAGTTAATCCGTCTTAGAAATCGTTCCAAATTGGCTGAAAGAAGCTTATTTGCTATAATTGATTTGTTACAAGGAGCGAAATCTATCCTTTTGTACTTAATATGGCGTGTGGGAGGATGATTTTCATAAAAAAAATTCAAATTTCAGAAAAAAAAATTTTCATTTTGTTTTATTTCATTTAATTTCTTAAATGTTATTACGGCTCCATAAACCTTAAAAGGCGGTCGGAACATTCAGGGCTTCGCCCTGATACGAGCAGTCTTGTATATAGTTTATACTTTTCTCCCTTGCTTGATCATTCTATCCACGTCATTGAAGAATAGCTATGCCGCAAAACTATTCAATGCAGCTAAGTATGTTCGTTAGTTGATATAAGAGAACAAGACTGCTCGTATCAGGGCGAAGCCCTGAATGTTCCGACTGCTTTTTAAGGTTTTTGGAGCAGTAATAACATGAAAAAATTAAATGTAATAAAATTAAATGAAAATTTTTTTTTCTAAAATTTGAAAATTTCTTTGAAAATCATCCCCCCACACGCCATTTAAAGCACAAAAGGATAGATTTCCTTCCTTGTAACAAATCAAATATGGCAGATAAGCTTCTTTCAACCAGTTTGGAACGATGTCGAAGACGGATTAAATCTCCGCTTACGCGTTAATAGCGCGAAATATATCGCGCGTTAATTGTCCCAAATTGGCCAAAATGGCCATCTTTAAACCCCCATAACTTAACGAAAAATGATCACAGGTGAAATATTTTTTCAAATTTAAGCTCAGGACATCAATACTTTTTGAATGTTAAAAAAAAAATTCTGTCAAAAATGGCTAGTTAAAAAGTCGAAACTTGTCTGAAAAAAAACCCACCCCGAGCACTAATATTCCGTTTCTTTCGTATCGAAAGTCGGAACAACAAGACTGCTCGTATCAGGGCTAAGCTCTGAACGTTCCGACTGCCCTTTAATTGGTCTCGGATAGTTTTTGGTAATTAAGAATTGTCAAAGCTATGAATTTCAGGCTGATAATATGAAAATTAAGTGTTGCAACTTGAGTCGTGTATGGAGTTAATAAAACCAATTAGCTGCCTCAATTCAATTTGGAACAATTTTGTGGTGCGAGATCTTTTTACGGCCAACGACAAGTCAGGGTAGTATAGCGGTGAAAGCGAACCTTCCGTGAACACGCAGATCAAAGGAGCGATCCACCCAGAGAAAATTTCCATAGAAAATTGGTAGGTATAAGAAAACCACACCGAGAATAAATATTCTTCATTTTCTTCGAAAGTCGGAACAATAATGGTTCAAAACAAGAAAGGGTCTAAATGCAGAACGATATGTATAGTTCGATCAGGCTGGTACGCGTTGCATGCTTGCGAGTTCACAGACACGAAAGTGTTATGAAAACGCTTGGCGCAAAGTGCGAAAACGCAGTGCTAAAATTACGGGTACGATGTGCTAAAGCGCGCACAGTAGTTCCACCGCCAGGCCACGGGAAGAGTTTTCACGAATAGAATTCTCACAATCTAATAATATTGCTTCGGATTACAGCTCTTGGAAGCGTTGTGCTCTTGAACCATTCTGCTCAATGCTCCGCCTCCGTAAACTCACTTCATATCCCAACTCAAAAATTGCCGAACAAAAAGATAGAAATGCGATGATAAAAATAAATTTACCAGAGAGATATTAAAACATTGAAAAAAGCGAATTCTCATTCCTCCCTGTTAGTTTGCCTAAATTCAATTCGAAAAGATTTTTGTGCAGATTATTACCACTGGTAGCTAATGCGCATCGTCATTTTTTTGCAAAAAAAAAAACAGTCAAAGCTCACGTATCTTTTTACGTTTTGCTCCGAATACAATAATTTTCAGACTATATGAAAAATCAGCGGTCAAAACCTGCTAGTTAATATATCGAAATTGTCTGCGTAAAAAAGAATCAGCCCTGTAAACAAATTTTTCTTACTTTCTCCGAAAACCGGTACAAAACACTTCATGGGTGCGTCCAGCTAACTCAAGTGTCTGTAAATTACAAGATCATTAAATCGAGTTATGTAACACTGGCATAAACTGCCGAATCAATTTCTTATAAACTTGATGTTATATCACGATTTTTGTTATATTACGATTTTTTCCAGCCCATCTTGTATAAATTAGAGCTCTCTTTTAGTGGCTCTTTTGCTTCATTCTAATATGAGTGCGTAATTGAACAAACTTAGATCAGTAAACCGCATTTCTGTCTTACTGACCTGGTCATCCTGTTTTTCTTTTTCGGTTTACTGTTACATCGATACACTGGCCTACAACTCAGATTACACCGCCGACAAGATATTTAAGTGAAGATCTGAAAATATCATTGATGGCGTCTCTTCTGAACAATTTTGTGGTGCGAGATCTTTTTACGGCCAACGACAAGTCAGGGTAGTATAGCGGTGAAAGCGAACCTTCCGTGAACACGCAGATCAAAGGAGCGATCCACCCAGAGAAAATTTCCATAGAAAATTGGTAGGTATAAGAAAACCACACCGAGAATAAATATTCTTCATTTTCTTCGAAAGTCGGAACAATAATGGTTCAAAACAAGAAAGGGTCTAAATGCAGAACGATATGTATAGTTCGATCAGGCTGGTACGCGTTGCATGCTTGCGAGTTCACAGACACGAAAGTGTTATGAAAACGCTTGGCGCAAAGTGCGAAAACGCAGTGCTAAAATTACGGGTACGATGTGCTAAAGCGCGCACAGTAGTTCCACCGCCAGGCCACGGGAAGAGTTTTCACGAATAGAATTCTCACAATCTAATAATATTGCTTCGGATTACAGCTCTTGGAAGCGTTGTGCTCTTGAACCATTCTGCTCAATGCTCCGCCTCCGTAAACTCACTTCATATCCCAACTCAAAAATTGCCGAACAAAAAGATAGAAATGCGATGATAAAAATAAATTTACCAGAGAGATATTAAAACATTGAAAAAAGCGAATTCTCATTCCTCCCTGTTAGTTTGCCTAAATTCAATTCGAAAAGATTTTTGTGCAGATTATTACCACTGGTAGCTAATGCGCATCGTCATTTTTTTGCAAAAAAAAAAACAGTCAAAGCTCACGTATCTTTTTACGTTTTGCTCCGAATACAATAATTTTCAGACTATATGAAAAATCAGCGGTCAAAACCTGCTAGTTAATATATCGAAATTGTCTGCGTAAAAAAGAATCAGCCCTGTAAACAAATTTTTCTTACTTTCTCCGAAAACCGGTACAAAACACTTCATGGGTGCGTCCAGCTAACTCAAGTGTCTGTAAATTACAAGATCATTAAATCGAGTTATGTAACACTGGCATAAACTGCCGAATCAATTTCTTATAAACTTGATGTTATATCACGATTTTTGTTATATTACGATTTTTTCCAGCCCATCTTGTATAAATTAGAGCTCTCTTTTAGTGGCTCTTTTGCTTCATTCTAATATGAGTGCGTAATTGAACAAACTTAGATCAGTAAACCGCATTTCTGTCTTACTGACCTGGTCATCCTGTTTTTCTTTTTCGGTTTACTGTTACATCGATACACTGGCCTACAACTCAGATTACACCGCCGACAAGATATTTAAGTGAAGATCTGAAAATATCATTGATGGCGTCTCTTCTGATGAAGAGACCGAATGATTGAATGTTTATTTTAGCCTATCTGAACGGAGTATTCTGAAGTCTCAAATAAATCTCAAAAGTCTCAAAGAAAGCAAATAAATCTAGGCTATTAAAATTAATATTGGCCGATAGAAAAATAAGCAGATTGCAGATACACGATGGTTAAATATTGCCGACTCAAGACGCATTGGAAAGAACGTATAGTTTCAAAGATATCGATCGAGGAAAAATAGAAAAACACTACACAAAATTAAATAAATCTGCACAGGGGAGGGTTCTCATGCTTGAAGGACCGAATGCTTGAAAAATTTCAACTAATCCAAATCGCTAAGCGTTTCTATTGGCTAAATGCCTTTCTCACAAAATCAAAGTCAATATTAACAGAAAACGTATTAAATCAGTGGAAAATAATCAAAAATATTACAAATTGCGGGTTACAACCGCAATACTATTCCGATAAACATCAAGATTAATGAGGACAAAATCCTAAGAATTTTTCAGTCTTGAAAACTTATCTGCTTATTATTTAATCGGTCAATATTAACACTAATGGCCTGGATTTATTTTCTTACTTTGAGATTTTCGCGATTTACTTCGAGATTTTGAATACTCAATTCTGATTGGCTGAAAGTAAGCTAAAATTCATTTCAAGCATTCGTTCCTTCAAGCATGAGGGACGCCACCATCTGCACATAGTGACATGCTATAATTACGCTTGCGATTAGCAAGCGTTATCAAACCGGAATAACGATTTTTTTTTCATCTTAACAACTAGTTTAGCAGAATCACTTGTATCCTGGTTCAATGAATCACCCTGCTTCAAACTTGTATGCTTTCTCGGCCAACTTAACCTGAAGGTAACGAATATGCCTGGGACGGCAAAGATCCTGGGTTCGAATCTGACCAGGATCTCTCTTTTCAAACAAGTTATCGGTCAATTTTTTGTCTGTTTATCTGTTGTCGGCTTTGTTGTCACATCTGGAATCGTTTTTTTTTTGCTGCGCGCTGTTTTTTTAAATGTTGCGTTGTGTTTGGTTTACTGCTACAATTTGTAATTCTATTTATATTGTCTTCGTACTTCCTTTTTTTTTCTATTTCGCTAAAAAAGTTCCTCGGCCCAAATTATTTCGGCATATTTTTTATCGACTTAATGACCTAATTTTTCAAGTCGGTTGTATGTTTACCAATTGGTTTGCTGAAATTTTTTTTTTGTTTCGTTATGGAAAGTTATTTCTTAATTAATTGGAAAATTTTTGTTTGCCCAGAAATTTCTACTGATTTTCAAAGAAGGGGTATCAATTGAAAGACCGCCAATTCCCTTGTGTGCCTGCATACTCCCTTAGTGTCTCTTTTTACTCTCTTTTTAGGCCCCTCTGTATACAGCCTTGAACAAGTGAGGGGGAATATTTGACCCATATTTTTGATTTTTTATTCGTCTTTTTTTTAGTTTGAATGAATAGAACCAGCTCCCTGCATAAGCATATTTTTTCTGACATCCAAAGTTATGGCCCTCCGAAAGTCAAAATTTTTATTTTTTGACCGTTTTGTTTTTGAATTTTCTCGAGAACTACCCTCCCAAATCTGAGATTTTGGTTTCAATCAAAATTACAGGTTACGTGGATCCCTTCTGCATGAGCGGCTATGTCTTAGTTGTTCACACAAAAAGCAATGAGTCTCGGAAATGTCAAAGTCCAATTTTTGAAACCACATTTTTCATGCCGCTAAAATTGCCGCTTTTTCGTGCCGCCTAGTTTTTTTTTTACACTTGGTTTACCTAGTTTTTTCAACAGTCTAAGTTTTTTCCGACTTATTTTTTGTTTGTGATATATCGTGTTAATTTTTGCCAATTTTGGCTCCGGGTTTGTGCCAAAACCATTCAGCGAATAGGAACTTCGAACGGTTCTGATTTGTGGGAAATCTTACATAAATCGGTCCCTCAATCATGACAGAATAGCCCCATTATAATATGCCGAAGAAACGTTTTCTAACTGCGATTAGACGAAAGTTGTAGACGTTTTCATAAAGGGCTTTTCTGGATTCCATTCAAATCCCTCATTCTTGCATTAATCTGAAGTAATTATCAGCGGAGATCTCGAAATGCAGCTTCAGTGCAATAAGAGTAAAGATGTTAAAATTTACTCGGTGTTTAAATTGGGATCTTTAAATTGTAACTACACTGCCCAAATTAAAGATATCTGGTCCTCGAGCAAAACCGTCTGAAAACAGCTGGCGGTGCCATTGTTCCACTGTTAGTAGGAATTCTGAGGGAGTGGAACTGGGGCAGATGAAAAAGAATTAGTTTCAAACCTGTTAATATTAGATAGATATGATAAACTGAAAAAGACATAAATCAATATGTTAGTCCAGAAACACATTTGTTTCGTTTCAGATCGTTCATGGACTCTATCAAACAAAACAGATTAGCTTTAAAGTGTGACCGTGAGTGAAACGCAACTGATATATTACATTTTTCAACTGTGTCTAAATCTGACACTATAATGAAGAGGTTTTCTGTGAACTGTTTCCACTCTTTGGAACTGCAAGTGGCCTCTACACTAAGCTTTGAAAGAGCGAGTTGCTATTTTCGTCGTCATGGGTCGTCCGTGTCTTCGCATAGATGGAAGCTACGACAGAGCAAAGGTTTTCTGTTTTAGTTTAATGCGCATTTGATTAAAAAACGATTGATGTTCCTCATAATTTTATCTGAATTTTAATATCAGCCAATCAGTCTTTCTTTTTCATTAAATTAGATAAGTTTTCACCTGGGTGTGGCTTATGACCAAGATGATATTTCATTAAGTATTGCATTATCGTGTATTTTTTGGCTATGTTAAGATTATTTGTGCATAGTTTGGCATAAGTATTTGAGAAGAATTAAAATAGCCGGGGTTTGTTAGAAAGTTCATAAGGAATTTTCACTCTCTAAACAACTTTTACAATTTTGTAAGCTTTTGAGTTTTGTTATTATGAGATAGCAATCATTGTCGTGCAACTACTCACTTTTTGTAATGGTATAGCTCCTGTTTAAGCCTCTGAAGTTCCATGGTTAGACTACCGCCTGTGCCCCATAGCGGATGTGGAGGGGAGAGTTGGCAGACACCCCTTCCTCAGGCATTCGGCCCCCTGCTGGCCTAAAGGTTCCCCCTTTGTGGTGTTTTGAGATATTGAGACATTTTCGGCTGACGGACCTTGAAATTTTTCTAAAGGTGCCAATATATTCTAATTTTGAGGGACAAGAGCGCGCCGCAAAAACGCAGTTTTTTGCTCAAAATTTTCCAAAATGGCTAAAAAGGCTTTTTATCGACGATAAACTTTTGGCCTATTGTTTCAAAATTTTCTTTGCATGCGACGCAAAAATTGATTAAAAGAGGGTCGTTACAGTTATTTGGGAGATGGCTCGGAAAATCAATTCGGTCGACTTACAAAAAATGTTGATAAAGTTTTCGAAGTTCGGTTATTTTTTTTTAAATCCGTATCCTGATCGAGAAAATCCTAGATCCGCCCCCATCATTGCATGTGCCTCCACTATTTAACCAACTGCAAATTTTCTGCTATAGGTGAACCAAATTTTTGGACTATTGCCCGTTGGCCTAATTTTCCGGTCGCTCCTCTGTCTTTGTAAAAATATATTAAAACAGTTTTTATTATTATTCGGCCCACTGAAATTAGGGAAAAGCTTTGTCTTCGGAAGCGTTATGTTTTTTAAAACTTTTTTTTTCATGAAAATAAAGTATCGCAAATCACGAATAGTCAGTGGAATGGGTCGAGTGATATATATTAGAGCCTTTTTAGTTTTTCATTGAACGACATTTAAAAAGATCCAAAAAATTTTCTCAGTGTCGATTTTTAGTCTAATTTCGAGTGAATAAAGCGAGCCTACAGGCTTATTAAAGGTTGGAATAGTAGGCTTTTTACTCAGTTCAAACAGTGAAAACTTCATGTTGCTCTAGGAAACTTGGTTTTGAAGTTTTTTTGGTGCTTTTTTGCGAATAAAGGTGAAAGAAAGCTCAAAAAACTTTCTGCAAAAAATAGAATAATCTTTTTGTTCTTTTTGTTTTCATTCAGTTTTGTTTTTCGATTTCATTTACTTGTTGTCCAACACGTCAAGCTTACTGTTACTATAGAAAATGCCTATTTTCAGGTTTTCGATCAGATCCTCTCATCAAACCACGGACAAAAACGATAGAATTTGAAAAAAAAATCATGTTTTCTATGTTTCTGGTTGAAATTTGCTATGCGCATAGCACCACAATTAGCTATCTTTTTTCAGATTGACCTTTTCCTAAAAAAACTAATATTGCAGGCAATTGATTTTTAGTTTTTTGAAAAGTTTTCAAATTGATATTTCAAAGAACATAAAAACTTTAAGCTGTCCTCTTATTTTTCTGTTAAGAAGTCAATTAAAAGTTTATATATAGTTTTTGGACTAAAATAGCTCAGAAACGGATTGTGATTATCAATTCTCAAATTTAAAATTTTGAAAAACAAGGAAAGGTCCAGTTTTTCTTCATCATAATTTTTTTCTCAGCGAAATTCTATTTTTTTATGGGTTTATTACACGTGCGTAGCGTAGTTTGATAGTACGATGCAACTTTGTTCCCAAACTACGTAAGTCGCAAATAAAAGTGCTACCGTGGAAGGTACTTTTGAAATGGCAGGCTAAATTAGCATTATAATCCCAAGAACTTCACTAAGAAATAAAGTTGTTCGAAAAAGGATTGAAAACCTTTAATATCTAAAATCTACATCAGGGGTGGAACTAGGATTTTCGCCCCCTCAAAGATAGTATATATTGGCGCCAAAGGCGCCTTTGGAAAAATTTTAGGATCCGTCATCCAAAATTGGATATCTTAAAGTAGTTCAAAGGGGGGCTCTTTGGGTCGGCAGATGGTCGAATCTTTCAGCGAGGATATTTTGAAACATCTCAAGCTATCAAAGCAAAAAAATTGACTCACAAAATTTCCTTTTTTGAGCAACCTCAAACTTGACGAAACTAATTTTTTCAATCAACCTCATCAAGCGATAAAATCTGCATTTTTTTCTAGCTCGAATCGATTTAAAGATCTTAAAAAATGTTAAGTTAATCCAACGAGCTAATATATTTTAAATCTAACTACATAGAGCTAGAAACACTTCGCTTAGGATTTTGAACAAACCTCTTTAAGCAAAAAAAAAATTTGAAATGATTCAAGTTATTTCAAACTCGAATTGGCTCGCGAAAATATTGGCTCTTTTTCCTTGCCCTCACCTGCGAATTTTCATAAGTAATTTTTCTGTTCATTTTGTCTGAGTGTTACAAAAATTGGCATGTGGACTAATAAGGTTATTACAAACCTATTTAGTCTTCATATTTAACCTTCTAAAAACCCTAGTAACACCATAAAATTGATGCTTATGTGGGGGAAAAAGAGCAAGTTGTTTCTTGCAAGCAAAGTAATCAAGCGATGAAACTTCGAATTATATCAAGTTATTTCAAAGCATCGATTGGTTCTCCAGTATTCAATTTTTAGGCAACCTTATCCAGCAAAAACCTTTCAAATGTTTCGCAGAAAAGTTTTTCTAAGAAAACCATCAGCTTTGAAATAAACCGTGATGAATCAAGTAATCTCACAGGATGAAGTGATTTGAAAAACTTAGTTGTTAAGCATCCACATCAAGCATGGAAACATGGTTCCTAACAAGCTCAATTCAGATATGAAAACGCTCACGAACGTGCAGACAAAAGGGCAGGTAATTTATAGCCTTGAAATTCAATCGAGTTGCTCCTATCTTAAACGATGACTGAAAAAAGTGCCTAGAAAACTCCAGATTCGGAATCTTTCGTGATATAGATTATTCGTGCAAAACTGAGAGGAGTGGTTCTTAAACGTTGCTTTCCAATCCCGTTCAAACATTGAGCGTTATGCTGAAATGCTGTCACTCAATTAATGTGAAAAATAAAATTGAGGGGTGATGAAAAACAATTGTACCAAATAATTTTGTGCCAAGTATGAAAATTGTATGATAAGCTTTTTTTTCACTAACTTCTTCTGATCCTAAATTTTTTAAATTAACTTGATTTTGAACCTTAAAACTGTAGAAAAACAGTAAAATTTATTAAATTTTAGAAAATTTTTGTAGCATTGATACAATTTCCATCATAAGAAAAATGCTTCTTATACAATTTTCACAACGTGAAAATGCTTGTCACCGAGATTTACTACGCTTTTCTGTATGTATGAAAGTGAATGGTAAAAACTTTTGTTAATGAAATTTGTATGAAATGATGTTTTGTCAACCCGGGAGCATTTAAAAATCTACATGCATCATAACAGCTGCATTTTACAGCAATGATGCAAAAATTTGAGGAAAAAAATGTTTAAAGGTTGACGAAAATATTTTTGAAAAAGATAGAGAGAGCTAGCAAAATCTAACATTTTAAAGATTTTATGATTTGCCCTAGTTTTGGGTAAGACGTGACGACCACATAAGAGATGCTACCACTTGTTTTCTAACCCAGGAGTTTTGTCCAATTCGATCGTAACTCTTGTTCTTCAGAGACTAAATGTGAGCCATACAAGCCTAATCTCATATCTAATCCCGCTGATGCGTTTCATATATTTGGACACGTTGTGTTTTTTTCTTGTCGTTCAATTTTGAGCTCCCATTTTATCAAAAATTGCTTCAGTTTTGTAAAGAAACGAAAAATCAACAATGCAGTTAGCTGAAACATAGAAAAACTATTAAAGAGCATTCAAAATTCTACATGCAACCAAACTGTTTTTTTACCGTTAAAACATTGGTTCAAACATTTGATAATGAAAGCTACATCTGGCGTTTTATTTCTTTTTAGAATTGACGTCATTTTTAATGCTACTACTAGATAAGATATGCTACTACTGGGATTCGAACCGAGGTGGGCCAATGTCCACTAAGACTTAAACTCCAGCGCCTTAACCACTCGGCCATAGTAGCTTCTGTTCTCGTCGTAAAATTTTGAGCTCCTTTTGACAAAAAAGCTTTAGTTAAAACATTGGTTCAAACATTTGATAATGAAAGCTGCATCTGGCAAAAGCTCTAGTTAAAGCTTTAGCAGCCCATGCGATACTTTTCATGCTTTAGTCTAGTAATTTGTTTTTGTCGTAAAATTTTGAGCTGTTTTTCCAAAAAAAGCTTTAGTTAAAACATTTGATCTGGCGACATCTGACGTTTTACTATTTTAGATTTGACGTCATTTTTTATGCTGCCACTAGATAAGATATGCTACTACTGGGATTCGAACCCAGGAGGACTATTGTCCACTAACACTCCAGCGCCTTAACCACTCGGCCATAGTAGCTTATTAGCCCATGCGATACTTTTCATTCTTTTATCAAGTAATTTGTTCTTGTCGTAACATTTTGAGCTCCTGTTTTGCCAAAAAAAGCTTCAGTTAAAACATTGGTTCAAACCTTTGATAATGAAAGCTACATCTGACGTTTTACTATTTTAGATTTGACGTCATTTTTTATGCTGCCACTAGATAAGATATGCTACTACTGGGATTCGAACCCAGGAGGACTATTGTCCACTAAGACTTAAACTCCAGCGCCTTAACCACTCGGCCATAGTAGCTTGTTAGCCCATGCGATACTTTTCATTCTTTTGTCAAGTAATTTGTTTTTGTCGTAACATTTTGAGCTCCTGTTTTGCCAAAAAAAGCTTTAGTTAAAACATTGGATAATGAAACTACATCTGGCGTTTTACTTGTTTAGATTTGACGTCATTTTATATGCTACCACTAGATAAGATATGCTACTACTGGAATTCGAACCCAGGAGGACTATTGTCCGCTTAGACTTAAACTCCAGCGCCTTAACCACTCGGCCATAGTACAGACCATGCCATACTTTTCATGCTTTTGTCTAGTAATTTGTTCTTGTCGTAAAATTTTGAGCTCCTCTTTTGCCAAAAAAAGCTTTAGTCTTGTGAAGAAATGAAAAATTCACTATGTATTGGCTCGCAAAAAAATTAGTTATTGTTATGATCCAGCTATCCAGCTTTGAACAATTTCAACTTGAGCTATATCGTACTTCAGTTTGAAAAACTTTAGGTTTCATAGAACGAATCGGTTCCCGAAAATTGAAGTTCTTCTAAGCAAGCTATTCAGGCAATGGAACTTTGAAATTCTTCAAAAATGTCATGAAGCAAATCGGTTACACAACAATGCTTTTTTCATTAAGATGTAAAATTGCCCCATAAGTGGCACCAAAATTGGCACTTGGGTTAGAAAAAAAGAAGGTTCTTAAAAATACACTAAGCTGACGATAAGGTGAAAAATTAAATTTAAACCAACTAAATCATTCAAACGAAAAGCTTGCGAACATTTAAAATTACTTCGACAGCTTGATAGTTTAAAAAAATTGAAGCAACGTTAACCATCTTCTTCAAGTAAAAAAAATTAAAAGTGTCTTAGGTTAGCTTGGATCAATTGCAGAAAAGTTCAGTTAGTTATTTCAAGCAATCTATTCAAGCGACGAAACTTTAAATTATTAGAAAACTTGAAGTTTCAGCAAGTTATTCCAGCGGTGGAGCTTGAAATAATTCAAAATATTCAATTAATTTGAATACTTGAAACATCTCGCAAAAAAACAAGATAATTCAAGTCAGCAACTCAAGTGATAAAAATTAGTTTTTAAAAGTTGTATTTTGACTTAATGTGATAGATCGAAACATTTTAAATTTTAAGGAATTTCCCTAAAATTGAAGCCTTTGAAGCTATGAAGTTTCATTTCAAATTGCTTTCATAAGCTTGGATTGGTTCTCAAAACGTTTTTCAAGCTAATTATTTGAGCGATCAAAAATTAGGGTAATTCAGTTTGTTACTATAGCGTGAAACGGTTTGAAACAATTCAAAGTTTTGATGCAACCTATTCATGCTAAGGAATTCATGTCTGGCTATTCAATGTCGTCAATCAATTTGCAAAATGTGATGTTTTTCTGATCAAGTTACACAGCCGATCAGATTTTGAATTGTTTGAGTTATTTTTTAGTGTGCATTGGTGGGCATGAGCTAAGTGTTTCAAGTAGACAACGAACAGAACAGTTGAAATTTTTTCAGGTTATTTCATAGCCTTTTTGGATTTGCTAACACGCTTTCAAGCCCAAAATTAAAGTCAAGTTAAAATCTAGGCCTTACAAAAACAGACAGGATTGTTATTTTAATTTTTTTCTGAAATCTTTTAGACATAAACTTGGCAAGTGCAGGCTTTACTGGAAGTTGAACCAAGCTGATCTTCTATGAAACGTTGACTTTCTTTCATTCCATAATACCTGCAAAGTTTATCTGAGAGAACTTCACTTATTGTTCTTGTGATATTTCTTAACTATTGTCCCTTATCTCATTTCCAAGCTTCTGAAATAAAGTCCGGTTGACATAGTTATCACGTCGACAAAAACATGAGACTATATATTTTTTTTTCAATGAGCTACCGCCAGCTGTTTAAAAAAAGTTTCAAGTTTCTTCGAATGCCAGAAGAAAAAAGTTTATGAAAACCTTAGACTTTTAATTCCAGGCTTCAACCTTAGAGTTTTTTAAAAAAAGATAGCTCCAAAGTAATAAAAAAAAATTATGAATGAATTTATGATGAATTTTGCATGTCAAGCTTTTACGCAGTCAATAAAGAATCAAAACTCAAACATAATCTTGATTGAGAAATTGTTACAAACCAAGTTGATAGGATCACCAAAAAAAGAGGCAGAAAAATACTTGAGTATTTCGTACATCAAACACATCGGCATACTGAAATTTTTGATACTTGTATATAAAAAAAAACTTCATTGACAGTTTCCGACTCAAAGCTCTCAGATACTGATTGAGTTAGTAAACACACAATTTTGTCAACCAGATGCCTTCCTTGCCTTGCTCTTCTTGCCCTGCGCTGAGCTGCCCAGGCCTTGCCTTGCGCTGCCCAGCCTTGCATTACGCTGCCTCTCCGACGAGCTCTTAACTGTGATGTTCCTCCTTGCTCTACGATGGCCTGCTTTCGTTTGCGCTGACTTGCCTTACCTTGCGGTGCCTCCCTCCTTGCTCTGCCCTACGCTAGCTTAACCTGAGCTCAAAATTCGAAGAGGCCACGTCTAGTCATTTGGCCTTGGCCTAAATAGAGAATTCAACTTGAAAATTAATCCAAACTTTGGAGTGAAAGAACTTCAGGAACACTCACGTTTTTCCGGTATTTCCTCACGCTGCTCGCTTTGCCTTACGCTGCCCTGCCTTGACTTACGCTACTCTGTAATTCTTTGCCCTTCCTTACACTGCGCTGCCCCTCCGTGTATCGCACTGCCAAGCATTGTCTTATGATGCCCTGCCTTGTCTTGCCCTTTCTTACGTAGCTTTGCCTTGTTTTGCTTAGTCCTGACTGCCGTGCCCCTCCTTGCCGTGCGCTGCCCTAGCCTTCGCTAACCTGCATTGTCGTGCACTTTTTGAGTTGCACTTTTTTCCGCATGCCTGCCCTGCGCTGCCTCGCCCTGCGCTCAAAACTTCACTACACTTGTCTAGACTTTAATTAAATTTTGACCATACTAATTATCTTAAGGTGAAATAAATCCACAATTCAAAGTGAAAAACGAGTCGAGGACATTCAAGCTTTTCGCATGCCTAACGCATTTTGTTAACCATTGTTCCAAGTAAAAAACGCTTAAACATTGCTTAGTGTTTTGGCTTAGCCGTTAAATAATGGAGGAACTGGCATGCCCGTCTCCATTAATCATTCGGATCGCAAAAAAGATGAGTCTATTGAAGCATTCGGAGCAAGCTAATGAAGCAAGGAAGTTCTGAAAAACTTCAAGTAAAGCCATTTAGTGAATAGTTTTCCACAACTTTTATTTAACGAAGCAAAATATGAAGCTTTCGAAAAAATTTACAATTTTTTTTAAGGCAAATTGGTCAACAAAAAATAACTTGTTTTTAAAAGAGTGAATAGATTTGCAAAAATTATTTTTTAAAGCAATAAAGCTATGAAATAACTCAAAATATTTCATTGAGCGAATCAGTTGCTTGAGATTTTCTTTGAAAATTTAAAAATATCCCTATCTGATTAGTTTCATGAAATAATTTGAAATATGTAAAGTTTCATTGCTTGCTTTGAAAAATTTCATCTTGAAGTAACTTGAAATATTTCAAAATTTTCTTGCTTGGCTGGTTTCAATAAAAAAGCTTGACATTTACGCCATCCGATTGCCATAAAAATTATTGAATTATTTCCAAGATTCTTTGATTTCTGAAGGCAGTTTTGATAATTTCAATTAATTCAAGAGGCTCATGGCGTGCTGAAAAAAAATGAAATCTTCGCTCAATCGAAGAACTAGGGAATCAAACGTTTCAGAGTTTCTTTGAAAAGCTAGCATTGAAAAATTAAAATCTTTTGCGAGCCTTTTCGTCCTAAGAAATAAATTGAATTTTTTCTAAATTCTTATCTTTTGAATAGTTTGCATTTGAAACTTAGTTTTTGGCCGCGCTAGGAAATAATTTTTAATAAGTTTTTAATACCTGATATATCTCAACGTTTAATCTTTAGAAAAATTTGTTCCTTGAATTTTGTTATGATTCGAAGTTACGTCGATCGAGTACCTCACTGAAAAATAATTTTAAATTTTTGCTAACTGATTCGCTCAATGAAATATTTTGAGTTATTTCAGAGCTGAATTGCTTTAAAAATTAATTTTTGCAAATCGATTCACTCTTTTTAAAAAAAGTTATTTTTTGCTGACCAATTTGCCCTAAGAAAAGTTTCAAATTTTTTCGAAAGCTTCATAATTTGCTTCGATATTTTAAAGTTGTGGAAAACTATTCACTAAATGGATTTACTTGAAGTTTTTCAGAACTTCCTTGCTTCATTAGCTTGCTCCGAATGCTTCAGTAGACTCATCTTTTTTTGCGATCCGAATGATTAATGGAGACGGGCATGCCAGTTCCTCCATTATTTAACGGCTAAGCCAAAACGCTAAGCAATATTTAAGCGGTTTTTACTTGGAACAATGGTTAACAAATTGCGTTAGGCACGCGAAAAGCTTGAATTTCCTCGAATCTTTTTTCACTTCGAATTGTGGATTTATTTCACCTTAAGATAATTAGTATGGTCAAAATTTAATTAAAGTCTAGACAAGTGTAGTGAAGTTTTGAGCGCAGGGAGAGGCAGCGCAGGGCAGGCATGCGGAAAAAAGGGCAACTCAAAAAGTGCAAGACAATGCAGGTTAGCGAAGGTTAGGGCAGCGCACGGCAAGGAGGGGCACGGCAGTCAGGACTAAGCAAAACAAGGCAAAGCTACGTAAGAAAGGGCAAGACAAGGCAGGGCATCATAAGACAATGCTTGGCAGTGCGATACAAGGAGGCGCAGCGCAGTGTAAGGAAGGGCAAGGAATCACAGAGCAGCGTAAGTCAAGGCAGGGCAGCGTAAGGCAAAGCGAGCAGCGTGAGGAAATACCGGAAAAACGTGAGTGTTCCTGAAGTTCTTTCATTCCAAAGTTTGGATAAATTTTCAAGTTGAAATCTCTATTCAGGCAAAGGCCAAATGACTAGACGTGACCTCTTCGAATTTTGAGCTCAGGTTAAGCTAGCGTAGGGCAGAGCAAAGAGGGAGGCAGCGCAAGGTAAGGCAAGTCAGCGCAAACGAAAGCAGGCCAGCGTAGAGCAAGGAGGAACATCACAGTTAGGATCTCGTCGGAGAGGCAGCGTAATGCAAGGCTGGGCAGCGCAAGGCAAGGCCTGGGCAGCGCAGCACAGGACAAGAAGAGCAAGGCAAGGAAGGCATCTGGTTGACAAAATTGTGTGTTTACTAATTCAATCAGTATCTGAGAGCTTTGAGTCGGAAACTGTCAATGAAGTTTTTTTTTATATACAAGTATAAAAAATTTCAGTATGCTGATGTGTTTGATGTACGAAATACTTAAGTATTTTTCTGCCTCTTTTTTGGTGATCCTATCAACTTGGTTTGTATCATTTTCTCAATCAGGATTATGTTTGAGTTTTTATTCTTTATTGACTGCGTAAAAGCTTGATATGCAAAATTCATTTTGAATTTCTGTTTAAAAAATGCCACACATGCAACGAATTTTTGCAATTTGTTTTGTTTTTATGCTTGGTTTTTAGTTTTTTATCACTATGGAGCGTAGTATTTCTTTAAAATAGCGATACCCTAGAGCTGTTCATAATTGTTTTTTTTTTACTTTGGAGCTATCTTTTTTGAAAAGGTCTAAGGTTGAAGCCTGGAATTCAAAGTCTAAGGTTTTCATAAACTTTTTCTTTTCTGGCATTTGAAGTAATTTGAAACGTTTCATAAACAGCTGGCGGTAACTCACTGATAAAAATATATAGTCTCGTGTTTTCGCCGACTTGATATCTATGTCAACCGGATTTTAGTTCGGAATCTTGGATATGAGATAAGGACAATAGTTAAGCAATATCACAAGAACAATTAGTGAAGTTCTCTCAGATAAGCTTTACAGGACTATTATGGAATGAAAGAAAGTCAACGTTTCATAGAAGATCAGCTTGGTTCAACTTCCTGTAAAGCCTGCACTTGCCAAGTTTTTGTCTAAAGGAATTCAAAAACAAGTTAAATTAACAACCCTCTCTGTTTTTGTAAGGCCTAGTTTTTAACTTGACTTTAATTTTGGGCTTGAAAGCTTGTTTGCAAATCAAAAAATGCTATGAAATAACTTGAAAAAATTTCAACTGTTCTGTTCGTTGTCTGCTTGAAACACTTAGCTTATGCGCACCAATGCACACTAAAAAATAACTCAAACAATTCAAAATCTGATCGGCTGTGTAACTTGATCAGAAAAACATCACATTTTGCAAATTGATTGACGACATTGAATAGCCAGACATGAATTCCTTAGCCTGAATAAGTTGCATCAAAAGTTTGAATTGTTTCTAATCGTTTCACGCTGTAAAAACAAACTGAGTTACTCCAATTTTTGATCGCTCGAATAGTTTGCTTGAAAAACTTTTGAGAACCAAGCCAAGCTTATTAAAGCAATTTGAAATCAAACTTCATAGCTTCAAAAGCTTCAATTTTAGGGAAACTCAGTTTTTTTGATCTATTATCACATGAAGTCAAAATACACCTTTTAGAATTTTAATTTTATCACTTGGGTTGCTGACTTGATTTATTATTTTTGTTTTGCGAGATGTTTCAATTATTCAAAAAAATTGAATATTTTGAGTTTTTCAAGCTCCACCGCTGGAATAATTTGCTCAAATTTGAAGTTTTTTCATTATTGAAAGTTTCGTCGCTTGAATAAATTGCTTGAAAAAGTAACTTAAACTTTTGATTAAGTATCGAAAATTTTGCTTGAAATAACTGAACTTTTCTGTAATTGATCCAAGCTGACATGAGAAACACTTCATTTTTTTTACTTGAAAAAGATGGTAACGTTGCTTCAATTTTTCAAAACTATCAAGCTGTCGAAACAATTTCAAATGTTCGCAAGCTTTTTCGTTTGAATGATTTACTTGGTTTAAATTTAATTTTTCACCTTATCGTCAGCTTAGTCTATTTTAAAAAACCTTCTTTTTTTCTAACCCAAGTGCCAATTTTGGTGCCACTTATGGGGCTACTTTACAGCTTCTTGATGGCATGTGCTTTGACATTCGAATAGTAATGATTTAACACAGTTGATGCATTTTTAATTCATCAAATGAACCAAAAAAAGCTATTTGTTTCAAACAACATAACAATCATAAAAACTCGATTTCAGAAATTACTTGTGGCTTTATGTTTTGCATTTTTTTACATGCAAAGTGAGTGTTGATGCCTTCAGTTTGTTATTTTTCAAATTACTGCTTGCAAAATTTCGTCTATTTGAATTTGGTGCCACTTTTGTTGAATGGCATTTGCAATTTATCAGCTTATGTAGCTGCTTTATTCGCTAATAGCGTTTATCGGTGGTTAAGCGTGCGTGGCTGAGTGGTTAGTTCGTCAGACTCAGAATCTTTTGATTGCAGTAGGCCGCATATCGAATCCTAGACCTAGCCTCATTTTTGCTAATTCGAGTCTTATTTCTGTTTTTTTTCTTATTGCACTTTTTAGAGCTGTTTTTTTGTCCTGTGACTGCTAGTGTTTGCGTAGCAAAACTTCGCCTCTGTGTGAAGAATTCATTTCAAGCCATCAACTTAAACTGAAAAATCATCGATTGCGTTGCTTGCATAAATAACTTAAATATTTCCCGAACTGTCAATTCAATTTGCTTTTTTCAAACTGCGTCCCCTTGAGTTAAATGCATGAAATAATTTTAAAATGTTGCGAATTGTTTCAAGATTAGATAAGTACTCGGAAATAACTCAAAGGCGCCTCGTTTGAATCTACTGGCTTATTTTTTTGTAAATAGTTCACGAACTGGTTCAAGCTGTAAAATTAACTTCATACTTTCAGCTTTTAATTAACACAACAAAAATAACAATTTCGCTTGAATAGCTTGCTTGAAAGTTCTTCAATTTTTTGCAAAGCAACTCCCACTATCAAAAATCAAAATCAAAAATAGCCTCGGGAAAGAAGAAGTGTTTGCGCTTTGATTCTGGCGCATTGATTCTCTTAAGAAAACTTTTTAGAAATAAATGTTTAAGATTGCCTACAAAGATTGCCTGTCGTTTTTGCGCATTCATTAATGGCATCAAAAAATTGTGATGAAAAGTTTCACAAGATTTTGACCCATGAAGTGATGATGAGTTTTAAACCCATTTGAAAGTTTAGTTTGACAGTCCTGCTGGTGTTTAATGAAATTTCAAATGATTTTTGGCAAGCATTTTCGGAAGATTATTTCAAAAGCAAATGAGAGTTTAATTTATTGAGTTGATATTGTCTATTGACGAAGTCTCTAAAGTCAAAATATTGGATGCATGTTTTCTCAGTTTTTGTTTTCATCAAAAATCGGTCTTTTCTATTTCTGACAATTTTTGAGATGCTTCCTATCATTACCGTGATAATTTAGTAAATTTAGTACAGAGTTTATGCGTAGATATGTGCAACGTGGGTGAATCAGCTCGTATTTGAAGGGATTATTAATAAAAGTTCAAATCCCCTTCTTCCCTTGAAATCGGTTACTGTTTGTTTAGATCCTTTCGTGGAGTTGGCTAAAGAGCGAGGCTTCAGATGCAGATCTGCGTTCAAACTGTTGGAATTGAATGACAAGTTCCATTTACTGACACCAAATCGACCAGCAGGTTCTATTAATTTCCCCATACACTACCCAGTGAGAAATAGCATGGCAAATCCTCTTAAAGGCTAAGATACTCATTCGCTAAGATGCTCCAATGTTCAACCTTACGAATAATGAACTGTGTAAGAGGCTTCTTTTGAAATATATTTCTCATCGTTTAACACAGTAGTTTCTGCGTAATTTTTGATTAATTGAAAAAAGCCAAAATGACCCTTTTTTGAGGTAAAATTTTGTTTGAGAATTTCGTAGAAAAACTGCACCATATTCTGATGAAATTCTAAGCAACTTAACTTTTGTTCTGTTCATTTCTTGTCTAATCTTAACCCAATTTGAGAAAAACGTCTTTGAAAATTATAGTTTTGTTCGTTATTTACGGTTAATTTAAATCAGCACTGTACATCGGACAACGTCTGAATTTAAAGAAATAATTTTGACCTTGAAGCAGAAACTGATTAGATATTTTTATTTGAATTATTTTCAATGTGTCCAATTTTCTTTTTTTCGTTAAGATTTTCTTATTACAATACGCAGAAAAAACAACACTAATTTGAAAAAAAAAATTCGAATTTTTTGTTTTAATTTTTTTAAGACTATGGTCGAAATATTCTGTGCTACTCGCACAGTAACCAGCTATTCTTGTTTTGTTACGGGTTAAGTTTACACAACAGTTTAGAGATGAAAAGTTTGAACCAACTGCGATTGCCATCAATGATTTAGCGCTAAATATATTCACCCAAATAACCATAACTTTTTTTGAATAAGCTATCTTTTTGGAGCTAAATTAGCAAGAAATTTTAAAATTATTCTTTTTAAAATTAAAAAATTTCAGTGCTGAAATAGCACTGACTAGCAAAAAACTTAATCATTATTGAGATATTGTATTATACGTTTTTTTCTCTAATAGCAAATTTACTGAGAAAGTACTGAATTCTGATAATAGAAAAATGCTGAAATAAAATTGAATAAGCAATGAAGTTTTTTCGAGCTCCACTTAAAAAAAAACAAATGTTAAAGAAAATATGCCATTGCAATAATGCATTCCTATTTCAGCAATTTTTGTTCCGACCGTTTGAAAAATGCGGAGGAACTGTGTATTCGGGTCTGTTTACTTTTTTTTCAATTTACACGCAAAATCAGGTACCTCAAAGAATCATCGGAAGATGTTGAGTGGTATATCATAGAAAACTTATTCATTCGTGATTTGAAAGACATAAAAATTTTTTGAAAATTGTCTCCCAGTGTTGAGAAAAACCTGTTTAAAATTTTAGAGTCTCAGTTCTATTTCGTGAGAGTAACGCGATCGAACAAAGATTTAAACATCGCTAATTCAGGCTAAAATTTGATTTTACTAACGCTTTCTTGGCCATAACCTTTTCGTACAAATTTGAGTTTTTCAGTACAAAAAATTCAGAAAAGTATATAGAAAATATATAGAGTAATGAACGTAGTAATGCACTTAATATATTGATGCACTTAAAGTATTGATGCACTTTTTGAGTGCATCAAAAAGTGCATAAATATTTTGCAACAGGTATATATGCACTTTTTCGGTATATATGCACCCAAAAAACCCTCCGAATAGCTCAAGAAATACTTTCATTAGTTCTGGCCTTTGGAGCAAATTAAATTTATTCCCAGCTCATCTAGCAGCAACTTGCATTTAACATTGAAATATTTGTCTGAAAAAGTTTGTATTTTTGATCAAATTGCATAAATTGTACCAAGAGTTTTGATTTCAATGGCGAATTTTATCTTTATTACACATTGAGTTGTGTGAAACCTTAATACACACTGAATCTAAACACAATTTCAGTTCCATCTTGATAAGGAATGAAACGATTCTACAAAAAAAGCCAGCAATTTTGATGCTGGTTTTTGATAAAGTTTATAAAATGCCTGTAAGTTTTGGAAGATTTGTATGATTTTTTCTTTTTTTATAACTACTTGGAAATGTGCAAAACTGAATGAACTTGAAAAAGTCATAGCTGCAATGACGTCGACTTTTAGGAATCATTCAACATCTACCGGACTAGTTTGCAAAAGCTCAGATTTTAGATTCGGATGTCATGTGTGATTTTAGATTCTGGTTTTTGATTCATGATTGGTGAACGATTTTTTTGAACAAATCCATGAACGATTTTTTTGTGTGATTTGAAGTAACAAAACTTCTCTCAGACATCTGGAAGCATCCGAATTCTCTAAGTGCATCAATTGAGCTATGTACTGCATAAATTTTTCAAAGTTTTGTCGCCTAATTAAATTGCGACAAAACTTTGAAAAATTACTGGTTTGTGGAAGCTCATAGTTGAGATTCGGATGTCAGATTTTAGATTCATGATTGGTGTTACTCCGATATCTAACTATAATGTTGAAACAGAACAACGAGGTCCCATCGAGACTTGAACTCGGATCTTTGGATTCAGACTACAAGGTGCTAACGATTACACCATGGGACCTTTTACATGAACGATTTTTTTTGTGTTTTTGTGTCGTCATTTGAAGTAACAAAACCTCTCTCAGACATTTGAAAGCATCCGAATTCTCTAAGTACATGAAAAGTTTCTACCCAGATACTCGATTACGATCACCAGTTTGCTCCTTATTGTGCCATCGATTTTTCAACGTGAAACTGCTTGTAGTGGTTAACTGCTGATAAACAGGTTTCGTTATCTACAAAATAAAATTCAGATTATTTAGCTTTTTGTTGAACTAATAAAATTGGGTTAATTGACTCCTGTAGTTTGTAAGTTTAATAACCCTAACTTCTTTGTATAGTTATTTGGTTTGGGTTATTCTGTTTTAGAGGCTTTGTTCTGTCTTATTGTGTTAGGCTTTTGTTTTTTCTTGGTGCTCGTATTTCATTTTATGGAAAATATTTAATCTTGAAACTGCTTTGAATTTCGGCTCAATGGGCGTTTACTCACTTATTGTCGGCTGAATGTCTGCTCGGTTAATACAAAAAACTTATTTAGTTAGAAGGTTCTGGTTTTTTACTGTTTTTCTGGATTGCTTCCGGCGTCGTGGTTTACGTCTTCCTTTCCAGTCTGTAGTTGCACTCTGTATAAAACATTAAAACTGTAGGTCCCACCGAGACTTGAACTCGGATCTTTGTATTCAAAGTCCAAGGTGCTGACCTTTACACCATGTGACCTCCGTTGAAGATGAAAGGTTGAGTTTCTTATAGATCTCTTTTCAAAACCTATCATAGATCAATGGTGAATAAAGTTGCGTGTATGCTAATCCGATCCAGTATCTGAGTGCTTTGAGTCTGAAGTTGCCAACTAACCCAATGAAGGCTATCCCAATGAACTGTTTCAAGATTATACAAACACTCGAAATAATTCAAGGCCTCGTTTGAACTTACTGGCTCAATTTTTCTGTAGTTTTTTATGGCTCAAACTTTTTGTACGAAATAAATCAAGCTGTAAAGTTAACTTCATATTTCCAGTTTTTAATGAGCACAGCTAAATTAACAATTTTTCATCGCTTGAACAGCTCGCTAGAAAGCACTCCAATTTTTTGCAAAGTAGTTTCTGCTATCAAAAAAAAAGAAAAATCTCGACATTTTAACGCTGAAGTAGCTTGCTTGAGAAGTAAATTTGTGTAAATGTAGTTCACATAGCAAATTGTTGCGTAATCCATAACAACTATCTTAAAACGCAATTGTGACGATTTGTCGCTCTGCTTTCAAATGACCTTGACTTGTTTCAGTTTTTTTTCGCTTCATTTTCTTGCTTGAGATAACCAGCTTTTTGCAAAGAGATTCTTGTTCAGAAATGTTTGAAACTTTTCATGTATTTGCTCAGTTAGCTGGTTTCTTTAAATGAGTTATCAAAATAAGTTTTTTTCGCAAGTAGTGTTGCTTGAATTCTTGGTTGAACTAGCTTTTACGGTTTTCGCGAACTGTTTCAAGCTATCAATTGAATTTTATTATTGTTTTTTTTATAGAAATGTTCATGCGATGGTTTAGGATGGTTTGATCTGTTCGCAAATTAGGAAATTAACCTTGAGCTTTCTTCTCTCACAAGAAAAATTGCGGGTCAAATCTCAAAAAAAGCGTATGTACTTTTAAATTTATGTAAAATAATCAACTTACAAGTTACTTTAAAGGTTGAGTTTCTTATAGATCTCTTTTCAAAACCTATCATAGATCAATGGTGAATAAAGTTGCGTGTATGCTAATCCGATCCAGTATCTGAGTGCTTTGAGTCTGAAGTTGCCAACTAACCCAATGAAGGCTATCCCAATGAACTGTTTCAAGATTATACAAACACTCGAAATAATTCAAGGCCTCGTTTGAACTTACTGGCTCAATTTTTCTGTAGTTTTTTATGGCTCAAACTTTTTGTACGAAATAAATCAAGCTGTAAAGTTAACTTCATATTTCCAGTTTTTAATGAGCACAGCTAAATTAACAATTTTTCATCGCTTGAACAGCTCGCTAGAAAGCACTCCAATTTTTTGCAAAGTAGTTTCTGCTATCAAAAAAAAGAAAAATCTAGACATTTTAACGCTGAAGTAGCTTGCTTGAGAAGTAAATTTGTGTAAATGTAGTTCACATAGCAAATTGTTGCGTAATCCATAACAACTATCTTATAACGCAATTGTGACGATTTGTCGCTCTGCTTTCAAATGACCTTGACTTGTTTCAGTTTTTTTTCGCTTCATTTTCTTGCTTGAGATAACCAGCTTTTTGCAAAGAGATTCTTGTTCAGAAATGTTTGAAACTTTTCATGTATTTGCTCAGTTAGCTGGTTTCTTTAAATGAGTTATCAAAATAAGTTTTTTTCGCAAGTAGTATTGCTTGAATTCTTGGTTGAACTAGCTTTTACGGTTTTCGCGAACTGTTTCAAGCTATCAATTGAATTTTATTATTGTTTTTTTTATAGAAATGTTCATGCGATGGTTTAGGATGGTTTGATCTGTTCGCAAATTAGGAAATTAACCTTGAGCTTTCTTCTCTCACAAGAAAAATTGCGGGTCAAATCTCAAAAAAAGCGTATG